GTGCACAGCCTGTCTGCACCGTGGAGCAGTGTCTACACCATTTCGTACGCCCACACCACCCACCACGTCACCTTCAACCCCTGTCAGCCTTCAGCCACTGCCGCCGACTTGATCATCGCCTCTATCACCTTGCCTCCAGTATGGCCAACAGACCGGGGTTTCAAAGCCTGCTGCAGGCAACGCTTGTCGGTCAATATGACCTGACATGGGTCGAATGACATGCCAGGACTGCTGTACGGCCGCTTGCGTCGGCAGATCGAGTCAAATTGACCTGTAATCTTTGGGGCAGTTATTTTCCCAAAGTTGGGACTTTGTGGCGGAGGTACCCTGTCAGAAGCGTCCCCGTGGCCCAATGGATAAGGCATCCGCCTACGAAGCGGGAGATTGCGGGTTCGAGTCCCGTCGGAGACTTCCTTTTTCGGCGACACGACTTTTTCGCGCGAAAAAGGTGGCAACACCATTGCAGTGTCCAGACCGGTATTGCAGACTGTTTGGCCGTGTTCGGGCGTCGTTTCGGAGTCGTGTAGACAGTGGGACGCGTGTGTGGACCACACCGCCATACCTACAGACACCCTACCGTGCCCAGAACGCACTTACAACGCCACCAACCGACCTTAGAGGCAAGCAATAAGCTCTATAGAGTCCGCTGCCTTCGACAATGACCGACTGCCGCCGCTTCAGTCTCTTCTGCCGACGGCCACACGACATGGACAGCCTGTCTGCACTGGCAGCTAGTGACTACACCCTATGGTAAGTGCGCACCACCCGCTACGTCGCCTTTACCCCTCCCCCCTTTCTAGAATGATATACTTAATAATTGTGCTCAGAATAAAAATACTATTGTGCATATGTGTACAGTACTACCTACAGCACAGTAATGTGCCTCGACAAAGAAGACTGACTTGAATACAATGTTCAATATCAACGTGATATCCAAGGATTTGTATGAGTGCTGCACTATACAAATCCAGTACAAGTCAAAATAGAGTTTGAGAGCTTATACGTTTTGCAATATTCTTTTTTACGCACATTACAGTCAAACCTGTTTATATGAGGCCCTGTTGGTGACCATCAACTACAATGACTCATATAAAATGGACTCAGCTAAAAAAAATTATGTGGTGCACGTAAAGAAATCGTGCATAGTTCGCTGCCGCTTTGCCTTCACCGTAGTCTCTCGAACCAAAGCGGTCACGGTCTGTAAAGCTCTTCGTTCTCTGTCAGTCTGCTCTCCGCATTGCAGCAGAAATGCAGCCAGCTCCATGCAGTGTCTCAGAGCAATGGCAGGTTGAACTGCGGGTTCCTGTTCCTCCTCTTCCTCCTAAGCGCTCCGCCAGCTCATGCGCCTTCAGCAGGAGCACGTCGTCCGCCATCGCCGTTTTAGCTTCGTTCTGAAAGAAAAATTCCCTCAGTTCCCGCTCGAACTGAGGGAATTTCACTCAGCGCCGCTTGGTCGCACTCAGGTCGACGTGGCTGAAGTAGGAAGAAGGCAGATTGCGCAGTCGGGCGAGTGTGGCACGGCTGACCCGGGCCTTGAAAGTTGCGTAGATCCACTCGGCGGGCATGGGGTTGTTCATGCCAGGATTCTGCTTGAGCTTTAGGTGCACTTGGAGCTTTTGTTCTAGCGTCAGACAGGTGCGAGGAGACATGGCGAGCGAAGAAGGCTTGCGGTAGGCGTTGAGTGTTGAGCAGTGGTGCTTTGAAGAGTGTGTGGCCGTGAGCAGTGTGAATCAAATAAACAGGTGAGACCTAATTTGGTACCCAACAAAGTGACTCATATACCTTGTATGCATATAAACAGAGATCATACAAAAACTAAGTGAAATATTTGGTAGCGACAAAGCCTGTATCAAATAAACGGTATGGCTCAAATAGAGAGGATCATATAAACAGGTTTGACTGTACTGTAAAACCGAAACACTAACGCCAAGATTGACATTCTAAACGTCCTTCGCAGCTCCTGCCATGTCCTGCGCAGCGCATCGTCTACTCTCCACGCGCCGAGTTGCTGCAGTGTTCCGTTCGATGCACACGCTCTCGGCAGCTGCGGTGCTGCTGCTGCTGCTTGACGCGTGCGGAACAGCAGCACATCAAGTGTTTTTTCTTGCGCGAAACACTGTTCGATTTCATTTGTCGACATCTATTGTTTTTATCTGAGTGTGCAGATGCTGGGCTCTCACATTCCGATCAGTAGCTGGCTGATAATTCCGTGTATCGTTCAAGAAAACTCGAAACGCCGTGCTGACATTTGACTTCGCCTTTCTCAAAACTATTTTTATCCAGCTAAACTTAACACCACCGAAGGATCGCAATGACTCTAATAGCATTGGAAGTGGCCCGAAATACACCTACACGCCTCAGTTACCGGTTGAGCAGCTTAATTGTCCGAGAGGCGTCAACTCGACCACCGAAGAGGGGCTTTGCAGCACGCCACGACTGAAAGTGAGCTGTCCAAGCGCAACTATAACAAATTAGCTCAAGGGGAATGAAGGAAGTGGCTACAATTGGTGGTGCCTGATGCTGCAGTACAAGGCAAGCTAAGTGCGCCGTGCCTCGAATTGTGCGAAAGGCCAGCCCGTGCTGCGATAATTTGAGCAGCAGCAACCCAAACGATTATCACGGTAGTGGCTGAGACTCGGCGGTCGAGAGACACGAAGTCGATGGCTGGTACAGTAGAACTCAAACCGAGTAGGTGATCTAATGCGAAATTCGTTGTTGTATTTGTGCCCACTCAGTGATTTGGTTCGTTGCAAAGTGAAATGGTGGGGAAAGCAACAAAGCAACGGAGATTTGATATTTCCGAAGTCACTCAGTATTTTACGACCATACTCGGTTCTAATCGAGTGCATGGCACACACAAAGTCGCTTAATCTCTTCGGGTAGACTACTTAGACTCACTTATTTAAGATGCTAAACACTGTCGCGTCATTATCATCCCTCCTGCACCTGCTCCTTCGATGTCGCGACGGATGCTGCGGTTGAGGACCGCAACGGTTTCGGTCACGCTTTTTCGCATCGAAGCTCGCGACAGGCTAGCAGCAGACGCACGCCGTGCAGGCTGGGCTTCATTGAGCTGAATTAACCAGGCAACTGTCGACTGCTTCTTCGCGGGGCGCTCGAGCTCCACTGTATGCAGGCATGTCGTTTGTTAACCAGGCTACTTAAGTACACAAGTGGACTCGGCGCCACTGCCGGTGATGTCGAGACCGGCGCCAAGTAAGGCCAGAAGTGTCCAGTTTGACCGACAAGTACAGCGTGCTGGGTGGTTGCGAAGTCATTGAGCATTTTCCCAGGTCTATTGTGAAAGTTCCGATATAGCGCCAAACTACCGATTAGATCAATCCTACGCCCCGAGCTACGCTATTCCGACTTGGTAAAGTATTTAACGAAGATCACCTTCAATAGCGAGTAGCTAATCTCGGTTGGAACGACCTCAGTCTTCGACAAGTATATCATAGCAAAATCGTGTAGTGCTAAGAGTCTGATAGAGCACTGACAAACTCGTTTTAAGGTGTAACAGGTCGGATGGATACACCTGGCGAGCAGCGATCGGCTGGCTGTACTTGAAGCTGGGAGATCGGTCGGACCACGCGAAGGATCTGTAGCTGTGCGAGGGACCCCTCGCAGAAGCCAGTAGCGAACTGGACAAGCAAAGAGCAGTACACGACGACGGCAACGGTGGACGAATGGCGGCGAGCGTCGAGGAACGGTAGACGGATGTAGCTGGTGGACGAGCACGTGCGGGCGATGGACGAAGTTGCTGGTAGGGTCCACGCGGTAGAGCTGTGGCTCGAGTTTGCTGATGGCTGCACGAGGTACGGGTAGGCGCGTGTGGGCGTATTCCCGGTGGCTAAGTGAGCGTCGCAGCAGTTTAGTTCGTAGTTTGCTATTGATGGTCGAGTAGTTGCATTTGCGTTCTAGAGACGAGTGGTGGACGAGCACATGTGAGCGATGGTGAGCGGTGACGGACGAACGAGTGCCGATGGATGAACGGTGATCGGGTGACGAACGAGACGAAGACGAGCAATATAATTGGAGCCCCGCGAGGGTGCCTCCGCCGCGGAGACGTCAGTTGAGTCTCCGTCGCTCATCTGGTGTTGTTCATATGAGTAGGACATGCACAGACACTGATCGAGCTAAGTGTCTCCGAGGTGTCCATGAAATCGAGATGCCTGAGCTTGTACGACCCGCCGGCAAGCAGGCGCCATGAGACTTGTTACAGATGTAGCCATGTACATAAGGTACAGTGTACCCGTTACAAGGTCTAGTGCTCTTGTCCGGCAGATAAAACAATTCTGAACGGGTTTGCTCTTTTTGTCCTTCGCCATGCCTTCTTTAGAAAGAAGACGAACGAGAGGAGGAAGCTGGCGAGGAAAAAATGGCCATGATAACACCGACGGGGCGATCTGCTGAGTTGGACACGCAGAAGTTATGTACGTTTTGCGCCAGAACATCCGTCATATTGTATCGGCACTTACACAACAGCTTCCAATTCGTGAACTGTTGATTCTCTTGAATTCGTGTGCGTCTGACCTCATTTTTGTATCAAAACTTTTGCGTTTCCTGTGCGTCTGCGCACACGAATTCTTTTTGCCCGCGACGACCTTTCCATACAAACTGCTGTTAAGCTGGTGGAAATGCAGAGTCGTAACGAATTCGTGTGCGTCAAACGCACAGAAAAACTACTGTGAACCTCGAAACTCAATACCACACAGGCGCATAGCAACCGCAGTTTATACAGCCACAAGTTCGAGGCGACAGGCAGTAGTGCATCGTCGCGCATTGCCTTTGTATAATGCAGCGTGAACCCGTGGCCAGGCGCCCTGGCTACACCAGCGCCCATTAGGCTCCATATTACTCAACCTCGGCAACTGCATCAACGACGTGAGGTAAGACGAGCTGAATTATCTTTTGCTTATATGCACGTGTGTTGGTGTTTCGACGCTAACATACGCGTCTTGGCTCGATCTATGGCGATTTTCTCGAATCTCGTTCAATGCAGTAGACCAATTGAGCTGATCTTTGCGCCTTTGACGATTTTTTGGTGTTACATCGCTGTTATAAAGCTTCGGAATAGCGCCTTGAAGCATTTCGCGAGCCTGCTGCACAGTTGGGGTTGATATCCAGCAGCCTCGCGGAACTTTGGCTTGTATCTCCATCGTCATACACCGATAGGCTGAGAGCGTCTTCCGCTTCCCACAAGTGGAAAGGTCCTGCCACTGCAGGAAGCGATATGGACCAATTCGCCCAGATGGGTCACCACAGCACCAGTGCTCCCAAGCACACCTTAACGACATGCTGGGAATAGTAAAATCAGCAGGTGCTCGCGTCAATCTTGAGATCGTAAGAGTCAGCTTTTGTGTAGCCATTTGGACTCCATCGTTATCATCTACATCTACGGTCCTGAGATTCTTCTGTAGTGCAACCCAATGGCTGGGGTAAATGGCTTCGGACCGCTGCAACTAGCTCAGCTATTCCACAGTCATTAAGCGCCCGCGATATACTGGCATTAAGCTGTGTTGACGACAAAAAAGATCGACAACGGGACATTTCTTCTCTCATCAACTGCACCACAGTGGGTGCCAGCACACTAACCGACAATGATAGCTGCTGTAGCTGCGCCGCTTGCTGCTCCATCGATGCCATCAAATGAACGTGCGGAGGTACACCAGTAGGCCTTATTCGATCTGATGGACGTGCCGTTCGGCAAACTACTTTCTGTTGCAACTGGGAAACTAGTCTGGTATTTCCGAAAAGCGCGTTGCGATGCAATGGATGCTGCTCACTCAGCGTGGTTCGTAGATATTCAGCGTGATACACTAGAGACGCCAAAAGAAAGCCGCCAGCGCGTAGTAAATGAGGTGGCAAATTGTCGAAACACAAATGAATACTATCGTGAACGAGATCATCAAAGTCGGGGAAACATGGCGGTAATATAGCAAAACCAATATCATCAAACGGTAAGCCAGTCACATAACGTCCAACAATGCGATCGCCAGCAGACTCGTAACGAATGTAGGTGTCCTGCACACCGGGTAGCTTCCAACCAGCTCTGATACATATAGCCGCAGCAGAGGGACCCCCATTTAAGCACGAACAAACAAAGGTCGCTGAACCTTTTCGCGCAGAATGTGTTCCAATATCTGAAGGTACCAATCCTTCATTTTCAAGCAATACCTTCATCTCGTCTTCCTGCATGACGCGCTTTAAAATCTTTGAGAATCGATCGTATTGGTTACCACCGGGGAATATCTTAGAATCGTCGATTCCCAGTACAGCAGCATACATCGCTAGCGTCAACACTGGGCAGATTTCAGGGACAAAGGGGTTCGCATGAAAAACGACCAAGACGGCTCCCGGCCTCGCGATGCAAGGCACGTGTATGTATCCTCGATACAAATGAAACAAACTTGAACGCATCGAGTCGTAAACGGATTGACCAGGTTTATCTCCGCTACGGTTCCGAAGAGACAGCAGGAACTGCTCGAAGTCGTCAGCGCGATGCTGATCATAGTTAATAGGAGATACCCCAGGATTCTCAGTCATGAAGTCAGCAATGCTGCTCGGTTTTAGCGACGTCATCTCCAACTCGTTAGGGTCGAAGTCGTCATCTTGCAAGGCTCCAAGAAATGCATCGCTCAGAACATTTCTTTGGTTCTTGTAAAGCCATGCTACATAACGACATATTCCACGAACGTACATCTTCACAGTCTTCTGGCCGATCACATTGTGCTTGACTGCTTGTACCTAACTGGCGAGATCCGCAGCGTCCGGGTTCGTGAGCGTGTCGGCATTCGGACCCGTGGTCAAGGTGGCGTCTGGGCTCGTGGGCATGTTGGCGTCTGGATTGATGAGTATGTCGGCGTACGGATCAGATTCGGGGGCACGATGAACGTGCGCCCCCGGGCGTCTGGCGCCTAGCTCACCAGGGCCCCTTCTTCCTGGGCGACACAAAAGTCACACACCACTTCGATTAAGTACGATCGCAGGATAGTCGCACAAATTCTTGCTACATATGATGTTTTGTTTAGGACCGTGAGGATCGTGGGCTCCTACAACGTGCTGATACACCGCAGTGTTCAAGCTGGGTTGTTTAACTGCTCGGACATCCACCAAGTTAACAGGTAAGTCGACGGTCGCTTTGCGCTTTAACTCGCTGTACGCGTCAGAAGTGTCGATCTTCACACTGCAGCTCTGCTGCACAACGCCATCAACGTAAAGAAGACATCACATAAATAACGTTATATACCGATGCACCGATTAAACGGAATAGTGTGCTACTATGTGAAACAAATTGGGAAAATTTTCTTCGACTTTGGATTCTGTAAGTCTATGCGATGCCGTCATACATGCCGATCATTTCGTATGTTGGATACCACGCCTCCACTGCATCGTGCTTAGAGCTGAACGGCATTGCTTCAAAGTCCGGTGCTTGGCTGCTGCTGTCCATCTTCCCGAGTCCCTCCTCGACGAAGGCCTTAATGACAAGACACCGCGAACTGCCAGCGATGTCTCGATCATGTTTGCCTGCTGCCACATCCACCTGCAGCTTCCACCGCAGAGCTGAGCGAGTGGTAGTGCCGTCGAGTGGCCACGAGCTCATTTCTACGACAAAGCTGGTTGGTGACATGAGTTCCCCCCGGTAGTCCCCGTAGCTGTGCGCACCGAGAGGAACGGAACTGGACAGACCACTCGGGAAATGACTGAAGACTCGCTGTCGACTGTCCAGCAGCAGCGTCATGCCGCTCGGCGCGCTCGTCGGGTTACCAGCATTAGAGCCACAAACGTTCCAGTCGGATAAAATCTCCAGCGACTGCCCATTCACCGGTCTGATGCTGATACGCGCGAGCTCGCGCATGAACGTCAGCAGGCACCCTATCGAGACATCGGCCGCAGAGGATCCTCGGATGGGCGTCAGCAACGAGCGATGTCCGTTGAACACCCACGAGCCGTCAAACATCGACGCCTGACTCGCATCCCTCCATGCCAAGCTGTTGCGAGCGGGTGCTAGCATGGACTGCTGCAGGAGGAACTGCGCTCGAAGCTGCGCCACAAACTCGTGCATGCCGAACATCGTGTTAGAGGACAGAACGCTCATCACGGTAGATCGCAGCGGCTTCAGGTGGTCGTACTTAAACACGACCGACGTGATCTCCTCGCACAGGAGCGCCAGCGACATCGACGACGACGAAGAAGAAGCTGACAGGTCTTCGCTCCAGCCTATGAAGCGGTCCACCAGCTTGCACATCAACTTGACAGCTTCCACGTACCCAGCTCGCAGTCGACTTTTGTCCAGCAGTGCTGCACTGTACGACCGAAGGAATCGCTGGTACAGCTCCAGGTTTGCACTGTCGAGCGCCAACCAGCCTGCCAGGTTACCGCAGATATCCACAATGCGTTGAAGGGGTCGAGGAACACCTTCATCTTCACTTCCTGCTGCGTCGTCTAGTCTGCCTCGGTCGCTGTTACTTCGGTCGCTGTTAACGCGAGCGAGTGGCTCGAGAAAGGCCCACGAAAGTGGCGGCTCTGATCGTGGCTCGATGTCATTACCATCGTCCTGCCCTCTCCACACTTTGCCAGATACCCTGCGATTTGGTCTCTGAAAAGTAAGCTCAGCTGCTTCAAGAACGGTTGGAAGGAGGACGCATTCAGATAGCGCAGGAAGTAGTACAGAATGGCGAGCTGCTTCGAGGACGTCATGATGCCCGGGTGGCGGCACTCCCACAGCTTCCGATCCTGCCACAGCGCCTCCTCTCGGCCTGCTAATACCTGCTGCACTCGGGGAGCTGGTAGCATGCGATCGATAGCCACAGAGCTGTCCATGTTGCTGCTGTGTGGGTCGAGATCCGCAGTGACGCTGTGCTGGACGCTTACCGCCGCGCGTAGAGCCTCCAGGGCCTCCCGCTCCGCTCGCACCTCGCTGGGAGCTCGGCGGTAGGACACGACCATGAACTCGGACGACGAGACGAGTCCCACGACTCGCAGCTGTGACTGGACGCGCTGGAAGACGTAGACCCGCAGCGCGTGCTTGGTGAAGCGCTGCGCCTTGGTGGCGGCGCTCTCCCACTCGTAGTACCATCGCGCGCCAGGGTTGATCTGGAAGAGACTGCTGTGCTGCTGCTGCTGCTATATGATAGAGCGAAGAGGGGGCGGACGAATGCCACAGCGTTGAGGAGTTGGGTCAGAAACATATTTCACTTCGCCAGTGGCAGACATCGAGCACGCTTCGTCGCACGTACACCCGCGCCATCAGCGTCGCGCACCACGGCGCCTTCGATCCACGTGCCCTTGGGGGTCTGCTCCGTCTGGATGGCGCCCACGATGTCGTCGAAGTCGATCGTGGCGTCCAGCGCCAGGAAGTTGGTCTGCGCCTCCTCGAAGTGCGCGTACACCAGCAGACTGCTCGGGTTCTGATTAACGCATTGCCCCGACCAATGGAGACTGACAGAGTTGCAGGAAACCCTACCGGGAGCGCCATCCCTAGCGGAATACCAAGGATTCGACGTCCGTCCAACTGGATCACGGTACTTGGAGCGACGATTGGAAGTGGAGCCAGCTGCACGAGTGGATTGACGCGAGCATCATACAACTGGTATTCCGCATTCGTAAAGTCGGGCTCGAATTTCACACACAGCACGAACTCAACTCCTGGCATGACAGCCCATATCGCTATCGCCTTGTGGTCGAGCTCTCCTGGTGCCATGCCCCACTGCTGAGAAACTCCAATTTCAACCTTGATCGTCCGAAAGTCTGCAAAAATTGGAATGTTTGGCGGAAGCACGGAGTGCGGTGTGGCTTCGCGTGGTCCACAACTGAGATCTGGACACCATCGTCGCCCTTGAGAATTCTTGGCAGCCATGTGGCCTTTGAGCCATTTCTTGACATGCCGCTTACGAAATTGATCGTGTAGCTCCGCAATGTAATCTTCGTGGGGAGCGTCGGCAAACTCGATGATGTGAATCTCTTCCGTGTCAGCAAACCATTCAAGATAATTGAGTCGAACGATTGGATCCTCGCTGTCAGCAAACGCGTTCCACTCGTCTTCCGTTGCGTGGCACACACGCAATGTACCGGTCGGCGGTGGAGGCTGTGCCACTGCAGCTTCCAGAGCAGCGTTGATGCGATCGATGCTGGAGAGCAGAGGAGTCATTGACGCCGGTGTGACTGCGTCTGTCGCAGCGACAGCTTCATTGGACGCACAGGTGACGAGTATGAGTCCCCGTTGTTTCTTTGTCGTCTTGTCCCAGAATGTGTGAGAGCATCGAGAATGTTCGTCTTGTCCGCTCGTCGTCCGCTCAACATCCGCCCAACCATCCCATATAAGAGCAACGAGCGTAGCCCTAAACACCCTCAGAGACAGCGATGATGTACTATATAGTACATTCTCCAGATTTTGCAGATCCAGCAGCATTAGGGCACCGAAAGTCCTGCATTTATATATAATATATCTTTCGAAAAATGGCCAACTGCGTTAGAAATCATAGGAAGCTGGTAGCATGCCCTCTTGAGCTGGTAGCATGCCCTCTCAAGATGGCATGCTACCAGCTTCCTGTGATTTCTGACGACAGCGTCACGGGCGACTTTTAGAGGAGCACGAGAACGACAACCAGTGGTGCTGGCGGTATGGCTGGCTGGGCGTGCAGTGGGGGCTCGAGCGTCAGCGGATCTGGGTGGAGGCCTTAAGGGAGGAGTCCGCCGACGTGCGCCTCCCCAGTTAAATGTTGCAATTAGCACTGGGGGCAATGGAAATCTATTGCTTGTACATCCTTTAGTCAAATTGTTCATATACGTACGCATTCGACTCGGTGTTATTGATGAAGTGTTGAGATGTATGAAATGTATGGTTGAGCTTATATTCTTTGGTAACACCAAAGAGCTCTTTGGTCTAGAGACCGAGCGACGGATATCTTCCTGTTGGGCATGCTACGCTAGCTGACACCGCGTGTGCGACGCGCGCGTGTTATATTCTGCTTGGCGCTTTGCGAGTGTGGCATCCGCAATAGAGCAAATCTCGCAGGACAGGTTGTCCTGCAAAAGCACAAAAATTAACTTTGACACGCATGCGGCAATAATACTAGATTTTTTATAGGATTTTACGCCGGATCATTTCGATCTGAAAATGCAGGACTTTCGGTGCCCTAATGCTGCTGGATGTCCTGCAAAATCTGGAGAATGTACATTGTGTACATGTTAATGTTTTAGAAAATGTATGGCACTATGCATTAATCGGGAGCCCTGGTGTACATAGTTGCCAGCGTAAACTCGCAGCACGCCTCACAGTGCAAGGCGCGTGCACACTGGCGAACCGTTGCGGCGCTAAGGCGTCAAATGCTTGCATAGGCTCGCAACCGCCGCTTCGAAACAGTTTCAAATACGTACATAACGGACACACGTTCGTAGCGCATAGCGTCAATCCCAAACGTCGTCCGTCATCCTATCGCAAAGATCGGCCGGCCTAAAATCTGCGCGCGGAAATCCACCAATCCCGTGCAACTTTCACGGCGAGGGACCAACCACGGCGGCTGAAGGACACTGAAGCGAGTGTACGCGCTGTGAAGCCAGCGATTGGTCGGAGGACCAATCGGCGCGTCGAAGAAGGACCGATTCCGCGCATCCTCGTTGAAGGGGTTGTGGCTAGTCATAAAACGATGGCCCCAACTCTGGCGGACGCCCACTCCCAGTCGCCGTTTTATCAGCTCGGGCGCTACGTAGGATAAGTGCAAGATTTCTCGCTCGGCGTCGCCTGCCTGCATGAGCGCCGTCACGTGCCACTTCAAGCGGCGCTGCCGCCACTCGACGCTGTTCCTGGGCGAGTACAAACGGTATGCTAGATCGATGCCTGGGAGAGGGGGCGACAGGAAAAAGGGTCCTCAAGAACTGAAGTATGTCCTCATGCTGCTGCTTGCTTGCTGTCGCAGGACCAATCGCACCAAGAAGACCAAGGTGCGCCCACGGCCAACTTGCCTGACCGCTACCACGATAGATAGTTAGATAGTTAGCCTGCCACCCACCCACTCCACCCACTCCAAATGACTCTGACGCCTCTTTGGTGCTGTTTGACGCGCGCCGGCGTCCTGCCAGATCCTGCGCTGCTTCCCACACTGCTGCCCCGAGCACCTCAACCGCAGCTACTGCGGCTCGTCGCTCTGCGTGCGCGTGGAGCTCGTCAGCCCCGCGCGCCTGGACGCGCAGCAGCAGGCCAGCACGACGACCGTCTCCACGGCCAACCCGAGCAGTCTGCTGGTGTACGCGCACTTCGAGGAGGCGCAGACCAACTTCCTGGCGCTGGACGCCACGATCGACTTCGACGACATCGTGGGCGCCATCCAGACGGAGCAGACCCCCAAGGGCACGTGGATCGAAGGCGCCGTGGTGCGCGACGCTGATGGCGCGGGTGTACGTGCGACGAAGCGTGCTCGATGTCTGCCACTGGCGAAGTGAAATATGTTTCTGACCCAACTCCTCAACGCTGTGGCATTCGTCCGCCCCCTCTTCGCTCTATCATATAGCAGCAGCAGCAGCACAGCAGTCTCTTCCAGATCAACCCTGGCGCGCGATGGTACTACGAGTGGGAGAGCGCCGCCACCAAGGCGCAGCGCTTCACCAAGCACGCGCTGCGGGTCTACGTCTTCCAGCGCGTCCAGTCACAGCTGCGAGTCGTGGGACTCGTCTCGTCGTCCGAGTTCATGGTCGTGTCCTACCGCCGAGCTCCCAGCGAGGTGCGAGCGGAGCGGGAGGCCCTGGAGGCTCTACGCGCGGCGGTAAGCGTCCAGCACAGCGTCACTGCGGATCTCGACCCACACAGCAGCAACATGGACAGCTCTGTGGCTATCGATCGCATGCTACCAGCTCCCCGAGTGCAGCAGGTATTAGCAGGCCGAGAGGAGGCGCTGTGGCAGGATCGGAAGCTGTGGGAGTGCCGCCACCCGGGCATCATGACGTCCTCGAAGCAGCTCGCCATTCTGTACTACTTCCTGCGCTATCTGAATGCGTCCTCCTTCCAACCGTTCTTGAAGCAGCTGAGCTTACTTTTCAGAGACCAAATCGCAGGGTATCACTCAGTGGCTGGCAAAGTGTGGAGAGGGCAGGACGATGGTAATGACATCGAGCCACGATCAGAGCCGCCACTTTCGTGGGCCTTTCTCGAGCCACTCGCTCGCGTTAACAGCGACCGAAGTAACAGCGACCGAGGCAGACTAGACGACGCAGCAGGAAGTGAAGATGAAGGTGTTCCTCGACCCCTTCAACGCATTGTGGATATCTGCGGTAACCTGGCAGGCTGGTTGGCGCTCGACAGTGCAAACCTGGAGCTGTACCAGCGATTCCTTCGGTCGTACAGTGCAGCACTGCTGGACAAAAGTCGACTGCGAGCTGGGTACGTGGAAGCTGTCAAGTTGATGTGCAAGCTGGTGGACCGCTTCATAGGCTGGAGCGAAGACCTGTCAGCTTCTTCTTCGTCGTCGTCGATGTCGCTGGCGCTCCTGTGCGAGGAGATCACGTCGGTCGTGTTTAAGTACGACCACCTGAAGCCGCTGCGATCTACCGTGATGAGCGTTCTGTCCTCTAACACGATGTTCGGCATGCACGAGTTTGTGGCGCAGCTTCGAGCGCAGTTCCTCCTGCAGCAGTCCATGCTAGCACCCGCTCGCAACAGCTTGGCATGGAGGGATGCGAGTCAGGCGTCGATGTTTGACGGCTCGTGGGTGTTCAACGGACATCGCTCGTTGCTGACGCCCATCCGAGGATCCTCTGCGGCCGATGTCTCGATAGGGTGCCTGCTGACGTTCATGCGCGAGCTCGCGCGTATCAGCATCAGACCGGTGAATGGGCAGTCGCTGGAGATTTTATCCGACTGGAACGTTTGTGGCTCTAATGCTGGTAACCCGACGAGCGCGCCGAGCGGCATGACGCTGCTGCTGGACAGTCGACAGCGAGTCTTCAGTCATTTCCCGAGTGGTCTGTCCAGTTCCGTTCCTCTCGGTGCGCACAGCTACGGGGACTACCGGGGGGAACTCATGTCACCAACCAGCTTTGTCGTAGAAATGAGCTCGTGGCCACTCGACGGCACTACCACTCGCTCAGCTCTGCGGTGGAAGCTGCAGGTGGATGTGGCAGCAGGCAAACATGATCGAGACATCGCTGGCAGTTCGCGGTGTCTTGTCATTAAGGCCTTCGTCGAGGAGGGACTCGGGAAGATGGACAGCAGCAGCCAAGCACCGGACTTTGAAGCAATGCCGTTCAGCTCTAAGCACGATGCAGTGGAGGCGTGGTATCCAACATACGAAATGATCGGCATGTATGACGGCATCGCATAGACTTACAGAATCCAAAGTCGAAGAAAATTTTCCCAATTTGTTTCACATAGTAGCACACTATTCCGTTTAATCGGTGCATCGGTATATAACGTTATTTATGTGATGTCTTCTTTACGTTGATGGCGTTGTGCAGCAGAGCTGCAGTGTGAAGATCGACACTTCTGACGCGTACAGCGAGTTAAAGCGCAAAGCGACCGTCGACTTACCTGTTAACTTGGTGGATGTCCGAGCAGTTAAACAACCCAGCTTGAACACTGTGGTGTATCAGCACGTCGCGATCCACAGAAGAAAACATCACGAGGTGCATAGTGTAGAAGAAATTTTATTTGGACTACTATGATAGTCATTATAACGAGAGCTATGCGTAGGCTGGGATAGCTAAAGAATTTTGGGTAAGGTAATTAGAGCCGGCCGCGCGACTATTCTGCGAAAATTACGAAAAACAACTATTTACCTAGCTGTGGGTGCGTTCAATCCTCGTAATATATTTATTTTAGCGAACCAAGGGTCTAGCGATAGTGATAGGGCGGCAGCGTGCTGTAAAAAACAGAAAACAAACGAAGCGTTAACGTCCTGGCCGAGCTCGTGCAATTTAGGCACTGACCGGTAACGCCAGCGAGAACTCAGCACGTTGTAGACAAGGTCTACAAGGTTGCAGCGCTTTGGCTGGGAGACTAGTATTTGTATTATCCTGAAAGTGCAAGTTCTGCATTGGTTGTTCTCAGACAGATAGTTTAAGATAGAAGAAAGATTCCAGATCCAGTATGTGACACAATCGAAAACTGTACTTCGTTCGAAGTAAGTAAAGTGGACGCGTGTGCCTCTATTGCTTTTTTTGTTTTGTTTTTGAATTGAGGTTCCATTGGTGTCACTTAGCTAATACGAAGACGCGTGTGCCTCAAATTGGCGTTTGTATATAACCCGTTGTATACTTTAGTGTCCGGTACAGTAGTTGGCCAACTATTTGTGCAACTGCGCGTTGGGGGTTAAGCCACAACTCTATGGACGGTTCTAATAGTTGAAGGCAGGCAGGCGCTGCGAAGCAGGCGCAGAAGATGCCTATGGATAGCGGCTTCGCCAGCACAAGGTTTGATATAACACAATATTCGAGTCAAAAAGCGCGGTTAGTTGACGATAACTACGGCCTTCTACTGCACCTGCTTCGCAACAGCATCTGGCCTGTTTTACAGGATAGTTCAGCGAGAAATGATGCAGGTGTAAAGGGAAACGAGCTTCAAATGCCAGTCCTGTTTACTTTTATAAATCTCTCTCGCTAATTGCGATTTCGATGTCCCTGAAGGCTACCTGTAACTGGGAATACATTTCGTGACAAATTAAATTTTGTGAGGCTGGTAAACCAGCAAGCTGGTCTCCTGTATTGTTTCCCGGGTCTGCATCACCGAAAGTCGAACACACGGCAATGCGGGGGCTTAACCCGCACGGAACTGGTAGCCGAGTGTATTAGTTAGCTAGCCACCACTTGCGTAGTCGGCAGCAAAATCTAGAGTGAGAGGGAGGCGGAGCCTCGCTCCCAAATGAAACGAATGGCGGGACCCCGGGGTCCCATCCGGACCCCGGTGCTCTCACCACAAACCGGTAACCATATCACACTCCTTAGTACTAATGTATTATGTATGTGGGTAATGAATGCACGGACTAGGATGTCCTTGGCCTAACTACTAGCTGGTTTTGCGCTGAAAAACCGCAGTATGGAAGGCTGGTTGCTACCGGGGTGAGCGGGGCTTTTTCGGGGTCGACCTGGTTTACGCTTCTTTTGTTTTTGCTTGTGAGCTCCTTGATCATCAGTGTCGGGTCCACCCGGAGTCGTACCATCTTGAACAGGAGCATTGAGAACGGCTTCAGGTACATCGGGTAGTAGCTGAGGTATTGCGGTGGTATTGTGAAGTATTAGGCCGCCAGCGACTTCATTTTTTTCTCCGGCAGCTCTTTGATCGGGTGACGCGGAAGCTGGACTGACGCAATCGACGCCTGAAAGATGCTTGTGACTGCAGGCCCATACAGTTCCGCCAAGACCGCTTTCCGAATGCTGTCGACGTTGTCAGTGCTCATCATTGAATAGTTTTGCGAGCAGTACAAATACCTTGATCACTCTCAAACAAAATAGTTAGCAGTGTACCCGGACGGTGGCGGTAGAAAATATTTGCTGAGTAAATCGTTCCATCCCACAAAAAACGGTCTCTCTGGGTCATTGTGATAAAAAAACACACCGCTCACCCCTTCACGTTGTTCACTTCCTTCAAAAGGTCGGACGGCGTGTACAAATTCAAATCTTGAGTTGCCTTACGACACACGATCAGCAACGTTATGAGAGTGCCCCGGAAGCAGAAAGCATAAAACAACTTTTCTGTAGGGGAACACAATCGAGAGCATTGCGAAAAACATCAGAACAGCTTTGGACTTATTTTGCCCAACACAATTGTCCAACAAGCTGAAGCTGATTTCCGCAGCAGGAAGCCCTTTACTGGCTGCCTCGTGGACTTTGGTGAGATGATAAAACAGTCGCAAGCTGCAAAGTGCGATAGCGTCCTTGCCCTGAGCGCGCTCGTCGTAGAGGAAAACGTGATTCACATTGTGGCTGATGTCCGCCACGACGAAGTTCTGCAGTATGAGGTTACTGTTGTAATAGTCGATTGAAGGACGCGAATGACCAAAGTAAGGCATCGATATTCCACCACCGTAGTCTTCCGCTTGAATTTGCACCCGACAGTTCTGGTACGAGGTTGGTCCACCTCGCTCGGCGATAGGAGCATCACTATCACCATTGCCATCGCTATTGCAGCTCACATCATGCTCGTTTGGTTGTGATTCATCCGTAAAAGCCTCTGAACGGACACCAGCATCGTTATCATCGGCTGTATCTGGAATGATATCGCGCGGTAGATACTGTTCCGGGCATGAAGAGCCGAGTAGTTTCTGATGAAAGTCGAAACAAAGCGCCTTTGTGCGATAGCTTCACTAAGATGCAGTTTTTTCTGAAGAAGGAGACATTTCCGTTCTTCGTCGCTGATGCCATCTTGGCCAAGCTGAATATCGAGCCGAGTGCAGCAATCGCAATCATCCTCAGTAGTTCTCGATAGATGGACGCCGGGGTACAACTTGTGAACATACTGTATGAAACGAGAGTAGCTCATCGTGCGAGCGTTGGGGCCTTCACGCTTGACATCGTCTTCGTATCGAGCATGGACCACTTTCCAAGTAAGGCCTGGTTCGTTGAAGAACTGGCGAGGTCGTCTGTGTGGACAGGGAAAGCCGTCTTCCAGTATCCATGTCAAGCAGTGGTTCTTGAATGTAGCCAAGTCTGAGTCACTAAAAGCATGCACCGGCGCCGCGCGATTGCGACGGGTGTGCAAGGTATCAATTCCCTCCTTTAGAACTTTCTTTAATCTTGCGACTCGACTTCCACCCACAGGAAGAATGGCACGAATATCTCGCTCTGACAATCCTAGTTGGAGGAGTTGCAGAATTACTCCCTCTGACTGCTCCCATTCTCGCCCTCCAAACTCCGTTTCCCAAGAATCCCACTCGCGTCAAATTTCCTGAACTTTCTCCTCACCAAGGAGCTCAACAGCGCGGTTGTAGGCCGCTTCCTTACGATCCGCCCGCTTCTTCCGCTTGCGTGGAGGAACAGCCTCCCGTGGCTCGAGGTGGCATGCTTGATGCGGATGCCGACGGACGCAAAGTGGTTTCGACTGGTAGAGCCAGGGGGATTTGGCCTGCAGCGACAAAAATAAATAATTCCCGAAGTGAGCGGTATTTTAGGCGGGACCCCGGGGTCCCGCCATCCGTTTCAAATGTAGAGGGCATCCCTCGAGGTGAAGTCACCCAAAGAGGCAGTCAGTCTGTGATGCAGCTGACAGCAGATCGATACAGACAACAAACTTCTAGAAGCTCACGAGCCCATACCAATCAGCCCAGTGAATATGCAGTTCCTTATGCAAGCTGAGTCTGGCACTGACAGCCAGACCAGTACAAACATTCAGCATGCACTGTCCTCAGCCGCTCGGCATCGGACGCTAAGGCAGAACTGTGATCGCTCTCTGTCGTCGACTGCGGTGGACCACTACATCTCGGTTCGTAACTGAAAGCAAGTTAATAACGGACTTGGCTACACAGGTTTGACTATGGCTGCGCGCGTCACAGATTTGATTGTAAATTTACGTACGCCACACCACATTGCTTCCGAGCTCTTCCTGGCCACACTCCGTCGTTCGTTGGCTGCAAGACCATGTTGCGCGCGGCCCGGCAGCTCTCGAGGGCGGTGTCCGTCGCCCCGCTGCGCGTCCGCCAGCCGTCTCTGCAGCTCCTGGCAGCTGCAGCCTCGCAACTGCGCGGCGCTCGCTGTCTCCGAGCTCCGAGCTGCTGCAGCGCTCCGTTCCGTGTCAATCGGCCGCTCCAGGCGCGCGGCTTCTCGGCGGCTGCGGCGGCTGAGGACGCGCGCGACGCAGCGGCGGAGCAGCAGCAGCAGCAGCGCGTCAAGTGGCCGTCGGACGTGGCCAGGCGCGTGCACCGCCGGATGCGCAACTTCCCGCGCAACTACGAGGCCAAGGAGCTGGTGGTCAAGGCGGGCATGAACCCGGCGGAGTGGGCGCTGGCGGCCTCCAGCTTCCGAAAATCCTTCCTGTCCGAGCCGTCCAAGTACTTTGAAGACCAGGAGGAGCTCGCCGCCTTTGCCAGGGTACCAGAATGCTGCCTTGTTGAGGTTTGGAAGAGCCCTAGAAGCTGAAATATTGACTTTTGAGTGCTTTTTGTGTTGCAGGACTTGGATGACGTGAAGCGCCACAACTCCTTCATCTTCTACCCGTACTTCCTTGACTACGCCAAGGCCAACAACTACCTGTCGACGGACGAGGATAATGACAACGCCCTGTCGCTCCAGCAGCTCACGGACCTGAGACTGCCCCACGAGATGTACCCCTACGCCACGGCCATGAAGCGCAGGATCATCTACCACGAAGGACCGACCAACAGTGGCAAGACCCACCAGGCTCTGGAGAGATTGAAGCAGGCTGGAGAGGACGGAGGCATCTACTGTGGCCCGCTGCGTCTGCTGGCGCTGGAAATCTACGAGCGCATGAACTCGGACGGACTGTACACGTCGCTGGTGACCGGACAGGAAAAGAAGATCGTACCGTACTCAACCCACGTGTCCTGCACGGTGGAGATGGCGAACATCAACAGGCCGTGGGATGTGGCTGTGATCGACGAGATCCAGTTAATTGGAGACCCGCAGCGCGGCTGGGCGTGGACCCGTGCGTTGTTCGGATTGCAGGCGAAGGAAATTCACGTCTGCGGCTCTGGCGAAGCTGTGCACCTCGTCAAGAAATTCGCAGAGACTACTGGAGACGAGTTTGAGCTGCGGTCCTACGAACGCCGCTCACCGCTGGAAATCTCGACGACGCACCTGAAAAACTACAGCAACATTCGCTCAGGCGACTGTGTCGTTGCCTTCTCCCGACGCGACATTTTCCAGATCAAGCGCGACATTGAGATCAAAACCGGCCAGAAGTGCTGCATCATTTACGGCCAGCTTCCGCCCGAGACGCGCTCTCAGCAGGCTCGCCTGTTCAATGACCGCAACAACGACTTCAACATCCTGGTCGCTTCCGATGCCGTCGGTATGGGGCTGAATTTGAACATTAGACGCGTCGTGTTCGCTACGGTGAAGAAGTACTCGGGCGGCAGCGGCGGTATGGTTGATATCCCGGCTTCTTTGGCGAAGCAGATTGCTGGACGTGCAGGCCGTTATGGCAGCGACTTCGCGTCTGGCGAGGCGACGTGTTTACTCGAGGAGGATCTGGAATACCTCAAGGAGTCGTACGATGAAGTGCCGACGCCGCTCACATCTGCCGGTCTGTTCCCGTCCTCGGAGCAAATGGAAGAGTTCGCCAAGCAGTTGCCTGGAATCACGGATCTTGCCGACCTCGTGGACAAGTACGTGATGTTGGCTCGTCTGGATGGTGACTACTTCATGTGCAACCACCAGGACATGAAGGATGCGGCGACGCTGCTGCGTGACACGGAGCTGACGCTGTCGGACCGCTTCACGTTCTGTATGTCCCCCGTAAGCCTGCGCAACCCCTTGGCTCGTAAGGTGTTCCTCGAGTACGCTCGGGCCCATTCTCTGGGACAAAGTGTGAAGCTGGATATCTACCTGCCGAAGTATCCTCCGCGAACGGCTGATGCGCTGGGTGACGTTGAGATCAAGGCCAAGATCATTGACCTGTACCTCTGGTTGTCCTTCCGCTTTGAAGAGACTTTCGTGGAGAAGGACTTGGCTCTGGAGTTGAAGGCGCGAGTGCTGGAGCTTGTGGAGCAGGGTCTGGTCAACACGACGTACAACCGCGAGGAGAAGAAGACGCGATGGGGCAGTGGCGCTGGGAACGGCCGGCGCTCAACTCCACGTGGTCAGATGGACCTCAGTCGGTTCCGGAATCGGAACAGCAATGGCAAGCAGGATTGGAGGTCAAAGCAACAACGTGAAGAAGAGGCCTTAGAAGCGCAGTGTGATACAAAGGCTGCCGTGGAAAGCAGCGGGGTGGCATGATTGTCACCATTTTGTTAGATCCATCCGGGTTCCATATCGATAGATGCATGTAGAAAGAAGACGTGTTGCCTTTGAATGCAAACGAAGCTACATCACAACTGCTAGTATTTCTCTCATTAATTTGCTACTTACCCAACTCCTTCTCTACTGCTCGTCAACGCAGCCGGATGCAGTTTTGGACGCGCTCGCACGTCTCGTCGATCGCCTTCTGCGCCTCCGGCACCAGGTCGCCGTAGATGAGGAAGCCGTGCGAGAGCCCCGAGTAGATTTTCAGCGACGACGGCACCTTGAGGAAGGAGAGCCGCGTGTAGAAGTCCACGCTGTCGTCCAGCAGCGGGTCCAAGTCGCCGACTACCAGCGACGTCGGCGGGAACTTTTCGAGCAGCGAGTCTTCGGCCAGCCCCGGGGACACACACGGGTCGTGGATGTTGAGCTTGTACTGATTCGAGTGGCCGTGCGAAGGGTAGTACGAGGTGAGCGCCAGCTCGAGAATGCCGCGCGGCAGCACGGGGTCGTTCTGGTGCAGGAATCGCGACGGCGACGGAGACAAGTGCAGATTCAAAGCTGGGAACATGAACACGTTCCCACTCGGCAGCTCGATGCCGTCCTGAATGCATCGGATGCACATCGCCGCCCCCATGTTCGCACCTGCAAGCGGAGCAGCATAAGTAAGTTAGTATGACAATACATACTAGCTGCTTTCAGGCCAAACAACAATTCAAACGCACCAGCACTTTCACCGAAGAGCGCAATCTTGCCAGGTCGGAAGCCCAGTCCGCCATTCAGCACCCACTTGTACACGGTGTAGCATTGGTTCATCGAGTCCGGGTAGTGTTTCTCCGGCGCAAGACCGTAATCTACAAGACACCGTGTAAGTAAGTCCCCCAGATCGCTTATGTATCGACAGGGAGGGAGAAAAACTTACCGACGTAGACGATGACTGCGCCCAACACGCACGCCCAATTCGTTAGGTTGTAGAAGTCCTTCGCGATGAACCGCCCGAAGAAGCCTCCGCCGTGGATGTACAGGAGCACAGGACGAGTCGACGGCAATCCGCAAGCGATCATCCGCGTAGTCAACGGAGTGCAGGCGTTCGTCCAGGTCCCAGCCTTGACCGACTCCATCGGTCGAGCGCTGTAGAGGTAAATGCCGATGTCCGACGCGTCCTTCCGCTTCTTGCTCAGCGCGGAGCCGTCCGCGGCCAGGAACTGCTCCTCGAACACGGGGATCTTGGGGCACTGGAGACTCGTGAGCAGGCGCACGAGCCGAGACTCGCCGAAAACCTGCCAGCCCATGCGGATCACGTCCACGTTCGGGTGGTCGATCAGCGTGCGCGTCGTGTAGCGCGCCGCCTTGGCGTTGCGGATGGCGTAGTACGGGATGGCCATTACAAGCAGCGGCGGGCCGAAGATCTGTAGCAGCAGCTTGTTCTGCAGCCCGAGGATGGAGTGGGCGAACGCGCTCGAGGCTGTCAGGACGTTGGTGCCGATCTTGAAGGCGGTGAACCCCCAGGGCTCCGACGACCGGTCGTAGTACTCGGCGGGCAGCGGCACGCGCTCGACCAGCAGCGTCGTGGCGTTCTTGAGGTCGTCGTCGATGTCGGCTTCCATCGGGTTGTCGATCAGCAGGCGGTGGTCCGACGCATTGCTGATGGGCCGCGCGCGCTGCAGCACGTGCTGACAGAGCAGGAAGAGCCGCAGCGCCATGAGCACGCGCGCGTGGTGCACCTTGATGCGCCGGAGGTTGGAGAAGCGGTACATGGCTCGGTTCCAGTAGTCGGCGAGTACGAGCAGCACGACGCCCCACTTGACCATCTGCCGCGTCGGCAGCACCTGCACCAGGAACTGCTTGAAGGACGTGCGGATGCGGAAGCGCTTGTACAGGAACACGAACGTCACCAGCAGCACGACGGACGTGCGGGACCAGCGGTTCTCGCGGTGCGGATTGTAGCCCGACTGCAGCTCCTCGAGCACCTGGCGCGTCTCCTCGAGGGACTTGGTGGCGTGCCGCAAGAGCGACGCCACGCCTCCGGACAGGATGGTGTACCTCTCGTCCGTGGGGATGAGCGGGATGATGTCTTTCAGCGCCGTCTTGGTGCGGAAGTCCACGGGCGGGCGGCTCGCGTAGTGCTTGGAGGCCACGACGATCTCCTCCTTAATGAACGTGTAGAGCACGCGCTCGAAGGACGCGACCGTGAGCGAGAGGTGCTGCAGCTCGCGCCCCACTCGACCGTACGCGTACTCGCGGATAATGCGGCGCAGCACCTGGATGCACGACAGCACGGCCGTGCTCGTGCCCAGCAGCGTCTCGTAGCCGCGGATGCGCAGCTCGCCCTCGTCCGTCGTCTCCTGCACGTCCACGCGCACGCACTGGTCGATGAACCCCATGAGCTGCACCGAGCTCTGGCTGCGCAGGCCGCTGCGGAAGCCCGCGTCGCCATTGGCGGCGCTGCTCATGCTCTTCCTCGCTCTTGAGCAGCGCGCGGCACCAAGAAGATGATCTTGAACTGGACGTGTCCCTGTGTCCCTTCGCGCGCCCCGCGCTTGTCACGTCGAAAACGTTGGGTTTTTGACTGAAGCGAGGCACTTCAACTTGTACCATACTGAAACTGGTACAGTTGACTAAGTGTTCCGGTGTCCGTAACGGACTGTGAACCTCGCATTGAGGCGATGCCACCGCCGCGTCCGGCCACTGGAAGCCAGCGGAAGGCCCCAGCGGCGTCGCTGGCGGCGAGTCAGCAGCCGCTGCAGGGAAAGTTGCGGCCGCAGTCGGCGGCGCTGCTCACAGCCGCTCCATCTGCTGCTGCGCCGGAATCGCCGCCTCGCACTGCCAGCGGACCTGCCGCTGCTGCGAATGGCGAGCGCGTGGGCGCCACGAGCGATGAGTTGATCCGCGACCTGGAGCACAAGGTGCGCAAGGTGGTCGAGCTCAAGCGCGCCACGAGCGACAAGCTGCGCTTCGCCGTGGCCAAGAAGCGCGAGGAGGTGGAGAAGGCCAAGCTCATCCTGCAGGACCTAATCAAGGACAGCGAGGCGCTCGGACTGCACTACACTGGCGGCGGCACTGGGAACCAGGTCGAGGACGCCGCGCGAGGAGCTCAAGCGGCCAAGGCGGCCGACGCCCACGACGACAAGATCGTGGAGGAGCCCAACCGCCTGCAGCCCATCGCGTCCATCTCGAGACGCCCCGTGTACTCCAAGCACACCAAGATCAACGAGCTGGAGGCCAAGCTGGAGAAGCGCGCGCAGGCCTCGCACGAGGTCTTGCGCAGTACCATGGTACTCGAGCACATCAAGAAGCGGCTGCTGAACGAGCGCATCGAGATCACGCAGGAGACGAACGAGCTGAAGGCGCGATTCGCAGAGCTCAACCACCAGACGCAGGAGCTGCAGAAGAAGGAGATCAACGCCAGCGAGGCCGTGAGTCAGATCCAGACGCGACTGGCCCAGCAGAAGGCCGACATGGCAGCCAACCTCCGCAAGTACAAGCGCGAAGTCGAGATGCGGCAGAAGTGGGCGCGCGAGAAGGCCAAGTTCGAGAAGTACTACAACGACCAGATGCAGATGCTGCTGGACGCTCAGAACTCTGGTGCAGACGCGCCAAACGGAGCTGCGCATGACAAGGTGAACTCTCCGAATGGACGGCGTGCTTCTCGATCTCGTGGGTAGACAAAGAGTTCTTTGGAGATTGGTGGCTGCTAGCTCACTGTGTGGATTTTGCTCTATGGCACAGGTTCGCCCAACAAGACGCGCAGGAACAGCGTCATCTCGCTGGCAGATGACATGGAGGCACAAGAAGAGTACCGACAAGCTTTTCTCCGCATGGGCTTTGGTCATTACAGCGAAGGCGTGGATCCCGAGGAAATTATACGTACTTGTCTTTCTCATGAAGAGATCAAGAAGGAGTTGGACGCCAAGCACGACGAGGACATGGAGCGCATTGCGATTTTGCGCGACCAGCTTGTACGTATCAGTAGTGGAATTATGCTGGACACTGCAGACGATGCTCATTTGCTTTACTTGGCTCCGGCAGGCAAAATCCCGAAATATTGCGACGGAAAAGATCCCATTGTCGAAGCGAGGCACGTCGCAGCGTCTCGAGATCAAGGAGATTGAGATCTCCAGCGTGGAGCGTGCGCTGGCGACTGTTGTCGACCAGTATATGTTTGTTGACCAGAGTGTCCGGCCTCTCAAGGTTTGCCAATTTCTCCTTTAAAGTATCCGTTGACCTTCTATGATGCTAAACTTTCGTGCGTTTGTTTTCAGATCGGGCTGCAGCAGATTCTGCAAAATATCACCAACGAGACTGTGAACGTTGACGACATGGCAGGAATCGAGAATGCGCTCATGAGCTTAATTGAAGAGATGATGAAGCTCGTGCGCGAGACGCAGCACGAATCGGACAGTCCGACGAACCAGCCACCGACAAACGAGCCTCCATCTCCAAATGACTCTGCATCCGCCACCTCAGAAGCGGATCCTACCAGCCCTTCCAAGGCAATTGTGAAACTCGGTGTCGTATCCGCAGACAATTTCACATCTCCGTTCAACATTCGCATTCCACCAAAGCCGAAAGAGCCGTACTATGTGCTCGGAGTGAATACCCAGCCAGCGACCAAGCCTCCAGAGGATGGCAAAGGTGAGTTTCAAGTATTCGTTCATATATTTGAACGAAGTTATCTCACGACTTGTTTGAAATACTGCAGAGCCCGAAGACTTTGACTTCGACGTCATGGACCGGTCTACGGTGAAGCGCATTTCGTCGGTGCTAGTGTGTACGAGCACTGGGAAGAAAGGTAAGGAAGCCGAACGTGGGAACAACCATTAACTCGTACAGATAAATCAGTACATGAACAGTATTTGACGAGGTAAGGCTCATGATGGCGATGTATAGAAGCGAGCGTACTGCTCTCGATAGGCCTCTTGGCACGCAGAGCCGCAAAATTCCTTGCTAGTTTGATCGTCATGCACCAACGCGTCCACTTGCACAACACGATAGCACTGCCAGCAGCTCTTTCGCTCCCCCGGCGCGCACCCACTTTCAGTCTGCTCAACAGGAGGAGCTGAAATCTGAGATTCACTAGCATTACCCCCATTTCTCCACGCCAGCAAGGCCTCTTGGAAGGAATTGTGCGCCTCCTGTTCGTCGTACGTGCCTTCCAACAGAGCTCCACCGCTCTTTTGGTTGTCGCGGCCGTCAGTATTGCTAGCGTTGAATACGGGGTTCACCCACTCCTCTTCTTCTTGGTTTGATGTGGCAGCAGGGTGAGTTGAGTCGCTCTCCCTCCACTCCAGTAGGGCCTTCATGAACGAAGCGTGGCTTTCTTCCTCATTGAACTCGCCATCGGCCAGATTAACAGGCACCTGGCCATCGCCACTGGCAACACCATTCTCCGAGAGCGGGGCAACGTGAGACCAATGAGTTTTTGCCGCGAGTTTACTCGGTGGTGACGGCATTTCGGGCACAAGTGGAGTGTCGCGGAGCTTGGGGTCGATGATTTCCGCTGCCTCTGTGCCGCCGCCACTTTGGCTTCCGCTGCGCGTCTTGCGGATCTCTTCCATCTCAGCGAGCAGGCGATTGCGAGCCGACAGCTTGAACACGCCGAGCTTCTCGTACCCTTCTGGGGTCAAACCGAGCAGCGTCTTGCCCGTGACTTGGTGGAACTCAAAACCACTCTGGAACTCCTCGAGGCCGATCACCGCCAGCCACTCCAGAACTTGAGGAACTGTCCACTGCTCCACCGTAGCGGGCGAAAGTATCGCGACCTTGGGTCGTGATGAACTCTTCTTCAGCTTGGAGGGTTTTGACGCTTTACTACCTTCAGACAGACCGTACTTCTTGCTCTGCTTCTTGGACGTCTTCTTCTGCTGGACGTCTTTGGCGTATTGCCTCACACTTCCCCGGTCTTCGCGAGCACTTCGCCACCGGTTGCCTGCGTGCTTGAGGGGGAGCTCCGCATCCCGCTTCTGCTTCTCCTCCATCATGCTCACTCGCAGTTGCAGCAGCCTCGCCTCCATAGCCTGTGCATCTTCCTCCAGGCGGTCGGACGTCTTCCCCACTTTGCCCCGCAGAGGCCTGGGCTTTCCGAAGACGCCATTGATCCCTTCCTTCGCCATTTCGCTACTGCTCGCTCGATGAATCAATCCCACAAACCCAACGGCAGCCGACCACCAACCTCCGACTACTAGCCAAGTCTGCGCGACTCTGCAAGCGAAACGAACGGGGGGGGATCAAGTGCTGCCAGGAAAAGAAGCATGATCAGATCAACTAGCTGCCGCTATTTTTTGCGAGGAGAAGGTCGGTGCTTCTTCCATGTGAGATTGCTCGCGCTGGCACCCTTCATTGCGCCAACCACTGCGTGAGCGTGAGTGCGATGCTCAGAGCGCGGGTCGACAACAAGAAGAAGCGGGACTCGACCACGCCGCCGAAACCATGGCAGAGCCCGGTCATCCTCCCACTCGCGCGATGCCTGTCAACCCCCGTGCAGAACGGTAAGCCCATCGTCCAGCAGCAGACCTCGTCCATGACCCCTCCTCCGCCTCAACGTCGTCACGAACGACCCGGAGAGCGCTCGGGTAGCGGTCTATTCGAGAGGTCCAACCCGTTCGACACGGACTTCGGGGAGAAGGAGCTCATCGCCCAGGGAGGCTTTGGCAAGGTGTACAAGTGCAAGTCCAACGTCGACGGACACTGGTACGCCATCAAGCTCGAGCAGTTCTGGTTCAAACCCGAGACGTACTTCAACCCGTCCGAGGTGCGCGACGTCATGATGAACGAGGCGCTGGTGCTGGCCGGACTCGACCACGAGAATGTCTGCCGCTACTACAACACGTGGGTTCTGGGCTCGCTCATCCCGGCGGTGAACAAGGGCCAGGAGGTGGAGCAGCCCGAGAGTCCGTGCTATTCTCCGACCTACACGCTGACGAGACGGACGAGCAGTCCGGCGGGCTCCAGCCTCACACGATCGAGTTTCTCCTCCGTGAGCGACGTTAACGAAGAAGACGATGAAGTGGACATGAGCTCGTCCAACTACTCGGACGCGTACTCGTACGAGCCAGACGAAGAGTGCGTCGCGAGCTTTGGAGACCTAGGCTTTGAGATGGAGGCGTCCGAGGAGGACGAGCGCGATATCAGTCCACGGATGTCGCTGGCCCGTTCACAGCGTCTCGCAGCAGGGAAGAGCAGTCCTCAACGGATCAATGAAGACGGCGACGATACGTTCAATCGCCAGCAACCCACGGAGAAACTCCGTCCGAAGCCTCTGGACTCATCTTCATCCACTCCGGGCGCCTTCATCACGCAGATCGACGTGTACATTCAGATGGCTCTGTACGAAGGCAACTCACTGCGAGACTGGATGGAGCAGCGCAAGCCTGGAGAGATTGATGTTAGCAAGAACATGCACATCTTCCACCAGATCGTGAACGGACTGAGGTACGTGCACAAGCAGGGGCTTGTCCACCGTGACATCAAGCCCGCCAACATCTTCCTCACGCGCGAGTTTTGCGTCAAGATCGGCGACTTCGGGCTGTCCAAGAACACGCTGCAGACCAGTCTGAACCTCCACCCTTCCCGTTATCTGTGCGAGGAGGGCGACGACAGCTTCGACACGTTGACGTACAACAGCACGGACGAAGAGATGGAGGAGGTCTCCCAGTTGTCGATTGGTGTCGGCACTCCGCTGTACAGCAGTCCGGAGCAAACCCACGGACATCAGACATGTGCAGCTCCTAGTGACGTTTACAGTCTCGGAGTTCTGCTGTGCGAGCTGTTCTGCACTTTCACGACGCAGATGGAGCGCTACGTGGTGCTGACCAACGCCCGCAAGGGTCAGCTGCCGCCTTCGCTGCTCGACGAACACCCGCAGATCGCAGAGCTGATCTGTGCCATGGTACAAGAGGACCCTCTCTTGAGACCGACTTGCACCGATATCATGGAGTGCGGGATTTTCCAGCACCAGAAACTGCACTTTAATCTCAAGAGTCCGTGCTCCGGTTCGGTTGGCGTCAGTCCTCTGGCTCGTGCTCTATTGAGTCATGGCAACTGCAGCTCGACCGTGTTGAACTTACTGCGCTCGATTGCGCGACTCGAACAGGAAGAGGAGACGCTACTCCTCAACCTCGAGACGACCGACAAGCTCCACAAGGCCCAGGTATTTTTTCCAGACACTGACGATTATTTGCGTCCGGCCGAGAGCTTGTTGGAGAATCCGATCTCTCCTGTGTCGGAGCAACGAGTCTCTCCTACGGGAAAGATGCTACCGAACGGAGCACTCACTGCGAAGACAATCCATGAACTGAAGCGCCTGGGCGCCGAACGGCGTCGGCTTTTGGACAGTGCTCTTCACGAGCTGTGAAGTAAGCGGTCGGTTTGAATCTGCTGCTTACGTACATTATAAGTATTTGCATTCGCTGCACAATGTATACTAGTTGATGCGTTCACATCCTGCAATTGTTTATTTTGTAGAGAAAAAAATGCTTGATTCGTTCGATCATGCGTGTAGTAATTACTCGAACATGTATTGCACGAAGGATTGAATATTAAACAATTTTGATGTACGAAGCGCGCGAGCCAAACGTACTACAGCTTGCATGGCTGAGAGAATATTGACCGGCATACAGTTCTGCACTGCACAATACATGTAGGCAGGACAAGCAATTGATGACCGCAGAAGCCGCGTGTTGGGTTTCCCATATTTTGGAGTTTAAATGCTACCAAAAGAACTACCACCATGATTCGGAGAGAAACAATGGTTACAACGACGCATACAAAGGCGAAAATTCCTCCGTCGTTCCTCAGAAGATGCTCATTTCGTTCCAAGTTATTACTTAACGAAAGTTATAAGCAACAAACAACGGGCCGTGTTAGCAACTCTTGTTATCCCATCTTCATTGGTGACACCTACCCAAAATGCCGGACATCATCCACCACGGCAGATCGTCTTCTGAGATAGACTGCAATCGATTCTTGTCAAATAATGTTGTACTCGCGGCGGCGACGCCAACGGAGCAAAAAGACCAAGATGATCGCAGCCAAGAAGGCGCACCCCACGACAATCCCGACGATCCCAGTGACTGAAAACTTGTTGGACTTCTTCGTCGTCTCGGAAGGCTTCGCCTTGCCTTCGCCCCCGCCTTCTGCTCCCCCCTCTTTCTCTCCGCTGCCCGATTTCCCGGAATTATTGGCGCCAACTGGCTTGCCATTAGCCCCCTTCTTCTCACCTTCGGGTGCTGCAGCAGGCTTTGCGGTCACCTTGACGTGGAATTCCTGCCCAATGCGCATGTCGAGGCGCGATAGAACCAGCATATTGGACTGCGCAAAGTAGTCGGCCTTGACTGAATGCTGCTTCGGGGGCCCGTCACCACTGGACGCCACAAGCGTTGATTCCATCGACGAATTGGCGGCAAAGCCATCTCCACGCACACCGTACACTCGAACCTCGTTCAGGTCAGCCTGCATCTCGGGGCCCGCGTACCCGTTGAACTTGACTGTGCTTTTGAACTCGATCGTGTTGCTCGAGTTCTGGAGCACTCCAAAGCGTACCAAAGAGTAGCGATGGTCTTCCACAGCTGAGAGCGAGTCGCCATCATCCACGTACAGCTCTCCAAAAGCTTCGGGGTTCTTCTCGGATGTGTTGAGCGCTGCTAGAAGTGTGAACGCTCCACGTCGCGACAGCGCAGTTGTCGTGAGCGATTGCTGCGTTGGCACAATATAGCCGCCTCGAAGATGCACCTGCAGCTTCGGCAACGGGGTCAGCAGACTCACGCGTCGATTCTCGCTAGCAGCAGGATCCAGCGCCAATTTCCCACTATGCGCATCGTACCAGGTAGCATCAGGGAAGTACACCTGGTTCGAGATAGCACCCTCGTGAACCACCGGCGACACCATCAGCGCAGGACCCAGCAAATACTGGTGCTCGATGTCCCGAGCGCTTTTGTCGCCCGGGAATTCAAACGATAGCGGGCGAACCACGGGACTCCCCGTGCGATGTGCCTCGTAGAACAGCGTGTACATGTACGGAAGGTACCGATAGCGTCTCAGCAGCGTCGAGCGCAAAATGTTCAACGCATCAGCATCAAAGTCCACTGGAGTCTGCTTCCCTTGGTCATTTTCAGCATGGTTGCGAAGCAGTGGAAGAAACGAAGCGGCTTGATGCCAGCGCACGCACAGCTCCGTCGAAGACCGACCGCGTGATCCACATACATTGGGACCCGTAAGCGGAATACCGAGCAAATTCATCTGCAGTGTGCCAGAAATCGAAAGCCGGAGCTGCTCCCAAGATGCTTTGGCGTTGTCACTCAACCAGTGACCTGCGTACTTACCAGTCCCAGAGAATGTCGAGCGAGAAAGCAGCACACTGCGCTTCCGGACGATTTTATCCAGCGCTTGACGGGTAGCTCGTGCTTGCGCGTGACCATAGAGCGAGTGAAGGTTGTAGTGCAGCGACGAATGGTGCAGTGCCGCCATGGGGAGCGTAGCCGAGTTCAAATTTCCATGACCACCTTGTCGAGGCTCGTTCTGCCCCGGAGCAAATGGCTGCCGATACGGGTCGAAAGGGAAATTCACGTCGTGTGTGCGAATAAACCCGCCATCTCCTCCAACAGCAATCTCTTCCAGCTTCATCGGGGTACCTTCTTCCGTCGGATGACCATCACCGCACATCCTAGCGCAAACATCGTCTTCAGCTGCAAGGTCGCAGTCACATGTGCTGCTCGGCTCGTTCATATCCAGCCACAAACCGTCAAATGGAAGCACATACTTGTGAAATTTGGCGAGCTGTTCATGCCAGAACCGCGAGGCTTCTGGGTGGAAGAAGTCCACGAATACGGCCCAACCCGACTTGAATGCCTTCTGTGCATACCGTTCGCCATTCACGCCCTTAACGAAAATGTCGAGTTCTTCACCCCGGGCCAGTGGATCCCACTCGCGATCGTCATGATGAGCCTCCTCGCTTCCACCACTTTCATCTCCGCTCTCAGCTCGATCTTCACTTGCACTTTGGTCTTCGTGCTGGCCACTGCGACTCTGCTCACCACTCTCACGGCTTTGGCTGCCATAACCGCCTATCTTGCTGCGGTCATTGTTTTCAGAACCTTCTCCACTAGTGTGATCACCACCGTCGCTGTCACTTTCTGCGCCATCTCGGGAATGATCCAAGTTGGTTGCCACACTATACCTCGCCATGTTCTCACCGTGTTGACCACTGGACGAATTCGAGGACGTGATGGCTGGGACTTGGACACATATGAAGTGTTGGCTGTGGAAGTGCAGGTCGTCGATGAACGCACGCATATCACGGTGGGGGAAGCTGCGTTCGTCCAAGGAGAGAGTTCGTCCGTTGTCAGCCATGTAGTCGATGTCCTGCCAGTACGCGTCCATCGGCACGCCTGCCATACGAAGCTGCGTGACGACCTTCACGGCATCATCCACCGACGATTCATCCCCTCCGCGTCTACCAACGTGATAGCCCAACGCCCAGTACGGCGGCATCGCCGGCCGGCCCACAATATCCGTGTACTGCGCAATGACATCCTGGGGCGTTGGCCCAGCGAACACGAAAATGTCAAGAATGCCGCCCGTGATTCGGTACGTGAGAGCCTCGCGACGTGCCACGACTTCCATTGCATTCGACGAGAGCACAAACACGCCATGCGCACTGCCTGAATGACTATCCTCCAGCTGAAGGACGAAGGGGTGGACTCCGTACAAGTTGTCCCCGCCACTGCGGGTATGAACTGGCGCCGTCACATTAGGCGCGCGTGCGAACATGGGGTAGAGATCACCTCCTTCGTCTGCATGAAGTCGCGCGGGTCCCACACGCTCACCAAGCCCATAAAGAATCGGCTCGTTGCCGTCTTCAGGCTGCGCTAGCTGCGTCGAGAACTCGAGGAACTGGTTCTCGAACACCAGCCCGCTGAAGCTCGCACAATCGTCCTCGCGTTCAATGGGCGGCGTCGAGTTGAACAGCACCTCTCCAGTGTAACGCCGAGTCACTGCAACTCCAAACGGCCATGGGGTAAAGTGCACTTCGTAGTCGCTCTCATTGCCAGTATCCCCCTCCACCTCGCCTCCTTGCTCTTGTCGACGAACGGGTAGATCTGGTACTTCATATCTGGGGAACGCTGGGTCGGTGATGCGGATTCGCAGTTGGGTCGACGACTCTCGCACCACGTTGAGCTCCAGCAGCGGCACATCATTGCCAAAGGGTCCACGACCCCCATGACGCAGCGCCAGCGTCCCGCTCCAGCCGTTGCTGGTCTCGTCCAGCGTCAGCAGCTCGTACCCGTCGCTCAAGGGCTGGAAGCAGTCTCCATCGTTGAAGCAGCAGCCGGCCGACTCGCAGGCCTCTTGGTCTTCCAGCACCTCGGGCGAGGCGAATCTCGGGTTCCGGCACGCCAGACGCGAGGGCTTGGCCACGTTCGCGCACTTGGCTCTGGACGGCGGTTCCTCCACGGCGAAGGCGCAGGGCACGCCCTCGTTCTCCAGACTCTTCCAGCAGCAGCCTTGGGCCAGACACAGCTCCTCCGTCGGCTCGGGGAAGTTGGCGCTGGCCGGGTAGCAGTCCACGCGCTGCGAAGGCTCCTTGGCGCACTTGACGGCCGCAGTGTCGACTGCAGCGGAGACCAAGTCCACCACTTGGTTGCGAGCTGCGCCGCTGGCGACTGCAACCACCGCCAGTGCAAGTTGAAGTAGGACCATCACTCTCGACCGACGGGCGATTGGACGACACGCGAAGACGACTGCACTGCGCTCCAAGCCTCAAATTGCGTTATGACGTCGAAGAGCTGGGGCCAAAGGCTCCCGCCTCCCCTACTGGACGTGAAGGAAGAGAAAGCCCACGCTGCCAGCTCTCGCCGGGTCGCAGGCTGCTCCTCATTCTCCACCTTTTACTTCAAGGCCCAACTGTCACGTTGAAGAGCGCGTCAGTCTGTATCACAGGTATCCTAGGTGCATTACATTAAACTATGATGTTATAGAGAGGAAAGATGTGGCCCACCTGGATTACGCACTTATCTTGAAGTTTGTATGCACATCGATTAAGGATTCGGGCCGCAACGTAACAACAGAGACGAAGAGCGCGCGCATGAGCATGGAGCCTCCGAGCCTGCTCCCGCACGTGGACGAGCTGGTGATGGAGTACTTGCTGTTCCGGGGCTTCACCAAGGTACAGGAGCCTCTAACCCCGCCTCTCGCAGCCTCAGCGACCGCGTATTCGCCGAGATATTAACGAGTTTGTGTCGCGCCAGAGCTTCCAAGTGTTCAGCGCCGAGCGCAAGCGCGACCGCGCGCGGGGCTTCGACGTGGACCAGATCATCTCCCAACTGCTGGTGGCGGTGCAAATGTGCGTCTAGCTCACGCCGGAGCGACGTCTGGAGCGGCGCTAGGAGCCGAGATACTGAATTTTTAGCTAACGCTGTTGCTCTCGTGTTATTTTCCCAGGTATCAGATCGAATCAGTGCTGGAGACGTGGAAATTCTTGACCGCCAGGTTCTTCAACCACTTGGACGCGTCCTACGCCTCGGTACGAGTCTTCGAACATACATTTTATGGTGAAAACAATACTTTAACTATTTATTTATTTTTGCTTACAGACACTGCAGCAGCTCGAGACGTCGCTCCTGAGACTGTACGTGGTCAATGCAATCAAGACTGGACACAGGGAAAAGGCCGCCGAGTTCTTCCAGCTGCACGCAGACAAGCTGAACGCCTCGGTGGCTGCTCACGGAGGCTCCGGCGCGGACTCGTGGAGCCGCTGGTTCATCTTGCCCTACATCGAGCACCCCGAGAGCGACCCGTACTTCCAGGTGTTCTTCAGCCAGTCGTGGCTCGAAGCGTTCGTGACGTCATTCCGCAACTTTCTGTCGCTCGTGTTCCGGAACCTGCCGCTGCCGAAGCTGCTGGCCTTTCAACTCGCACGACTGGAAGAGCCGACGCTCAAGTTGCGGCTGAAAGTGAGTCAGTCGGAAGCGACCAGGCTGAGGATGTACAACAGCGAGGCCACAGCCAAGATCAAGAAGCTGGAGGAAGCAGGACGCCAGCTCCACTCGATTCTGCGCATGATGGTGCAGCACAACTTCATGGAGCACTTCTCGGCGTCTACCTCCAGCTACGTTGATGTGACGAGTGAGAACCGCAATAAAAGCAGAAGTCGCAGTCGGAGCTACGGAGCACCAACGCCTGGCGTTGGGCTCTCGAACAAACAGATGCAGGAGATCGGAGAGCTTTTCGGTATCAGCAGCGAGGACAGTCCCCATGTTGATCTTCCTGTTCCTGCCGACCCGCGAGATATGCCACGCGTAGCAGAGGTGTACCTGCCGGTAGATGAACTGAGTGATGACGAGGTGCTCGGCCAAGGGGACGAGGAGGACGAGGTCGATGAGGATATGCTGGACGTGGCGGTGCAAAACGATAGAGCTGATAGTGACACGCCGTCACCCATGTTCTCTCCGACTGCTACAGAAACCAGTCGGCTGACTGAAAAATGCGACGGATCTCTCGCAGAATCCAGCTTGACGCCGATCGACAAACCATCGTGGACTAGTGACGCGGCGGACCAACCAGCAGGCAGCGTTCAAGCGTCCCTGATCCGTGAATTTAACATGCTCAACGACTGGGAGCCGACAAAATCAGCGATGACAGCTCGAAGCCGCTTCTCTTCAGACGGAGAGTTTCTTGCGATCGCGAAGCTTGGCAACACCCACATCGATATCTGGTCTGCGAATCCAATGGTGCTTTCACCGACCTCTACTATTAAACTACCGGCAAAGCTGACCAGCATGCAGTGGTTGGGTCCGGGGCCCAACAAACAGGTAAGGATCTTGTTGGTCAACCTCCCGTCATGACGTGATGACTGACCTGTTGAGTGTTGTGCGAATTCGCAGCTCTTGGCGTGTACACTTGAAGATGCCATTACGATGCTGTGGGATACCGACGGACAGGAAGTTATCACGTGCCCGCCAAATGAAGACAATTTGCAGGTTCAACAACTGATGTGTGCTCGGGAGGCGCCAATCGCTGCGTGCCTGTTCACCAGTCTTGATGAAGATGATAATGCGCTTCAGCAAGTCCTGGTGTTACATGGAGGCATGGAGGAGCCGATGCAAGACTACTTCCCTATGGAAGACAAGCAACTTACCTGCCTGGCGTGGAGCAACATGGGCGACGTGCTCATCACTGGAAGTCAAACAGGGGATATTGAATTTATTGACGTGATCCGTCCCGAGCGGATACACCGGTGCAACCTCGTTTCCTGCAGCGGCTCCTCGCGTATCGACGGTGGCAGTTTGTCTGCGATTTGTCTGTCTCCTGACGGGAGGTCAATGTTAAGCGTCCACGAGAATGGTGGCATCGTGATGGAATGGTCGATCGGCTCAATTTTGGTCGCTGTTACCTCTCCAGCTGATGCGAGCGATGTGAGAGGAAGCGTAATAGACGTGAAGCCATCTCTGGTATTCACGTACGAGCTGGACAAGCCGCTGGCATCTCAAGATTCCGAAGTGGACACTACTATTCGCTTTCTTGGAGCAGGCGACTACTTCGTAGTTGCTGATTCTGCCCGGCTCCATATCTTCAAGGTACTGAGCGGTATCTCATTGCTATTGTGCAGTATGCTGAACACGGTTTAACTAACTTGTTTCATGTTGATCAACCTTCAGTGTGGCGAGAAGAGTGCCGTCTCGAGCTTTGTCCCGAATCAAGCTAGCGTAGCAGATCTAGACTGGCACCCGAGGCTCCCCGTGTGCTGCTCCGCTAATCAGGACGGGGCCATCTCGCTGTGGAGCATGAACGCCTGAATCAAACCTGCCCCCCACCCCTCAAAAATAAACTATTTTGCCAGCGACTCGTGTCAGAATAGGACCAGCTTGATCCAGCATTGAGCTTTGGTGAGTAGCATTGGCCCGCCAGCCCCGTACGATGAACAGGAGACTGGCCTTCGACAATCGTCTGTGCTACGAGCGCGATGTGATCCGGCAGCAAGCGCTCCACCAGCGCAAGCTCGAGCAAATGGTACCTACGAGCCACTCTCCGTCACGGGTGTACCTGGACAGCAATGCACCCGTGCCTCAGCCGCACCTGGCCACCAACGCCAAGCGACAGCAGATCGAGCGGGACCGACAGCTCGACATTTACCACCAGAACCAGCGTCTAGCCAACAAGATGGACCAGATCATGAACCGCCAGGAGAACGTTGTACTGGCTGCCTCCTCCTCGGCTGCCAGAACGAGGTTAGCTCCTCGCAGTCACCCCAAACCTGGCGAGCCTTTGATGCCGAGAGTTCCAGTGGGAGGTGATGCAACGTCTCGAGCGAATACGCCTGGGACAACCCGCTCACCTCGATATCAATTGCCCAGGAAGCCTGTACACAGTCCAGCTCACATGCACATGCCTGGAATTCGGCTCGACGCGACGCAGACCCCTCTTCTGGATTGCCACCTATCGCCCGAGTATGCGATGGGTCGAGGAGATGCCTGCAAGAAGCCGACGCTCGTGAATCGCGCTGTTCAACGACGTCGACAGAATGCTATCGACCAGGAAAACCGGCGACTGAAGGAGAGACTGGCACATCTGAAGCCGTACTACAACACCAAGAAGTGGGATGGCGAGTGGCAGCAGCATGCGCACAAGTTCAGCCACGTGCATCAGGACGCCACGGTCGGATACCTGTTGCCGCACCCCAAGACGCCAGCCAAAAAACTGTTGGCTTCGCCTTCACGAGGAGGTTGCAAAACCACCCGCGAGCGCAGTTTGTCGAAAGGGAACGCCTCGAGCGTGCGCGGACTTCCCTCGCTTGAGGGCAAGAACAAGTCCAATGCCAGTCGTGCAGGACGACTGAGAGAGCTGCAAAGCCGTCGCTCCGACGCGTCCGTCCGTGAGGAAGACGACGTTGATGCAACCGATGACGAAGAAAACCCGCACGTCCGGGAACTTCCGCCTTGCTTACTGTTGGAGGCCACGACGCGACAAGGAGTTGAGGTGTTGCTGGATGAGCTGCAGATCGAGCTAACCCGATCTGGCATCGCTGAGCTCGGAGATCGGTGCGTACACTTGGGAAAGATATGTTTGCCGACTAAACTGACAAGTCTTTTGCTTTGTGTCCTGTTAGTGGACTGCTGATTCGTGGGTCCTGGAAAGACGGTATTCTCGGTGAATTTCTGGTGGATCACGACAAGCTGGTGCAAGTCGCTCAGATTGTGGACGACCTCGAGATCATGTAAGTGAATGCAAATGAATTGCCAAGACAATCCTGTCGACTAACAAGCTTTGGTGTTGTACGTACAGGATTAAGCTCGAGACGGTGTCACAAGTACCGAAAGCTGGAAATGTTCCAAGTCTCTCATCATTGTTGACCGACGACGAGCTTCAGAAACTTTTGGTTGGAGTGGTGCAACAATTGCGCTTCCAGGTGGCTCCGACTCCACCGAATACCGCATCAAGCTCGCTACTGTTAATTTCCTGGGTACTACCGATACGAGGGTCGAACGATCGCGGCGGTTTCCAATCTGGTAGCTTTAATTCTCCACGGGAGCGTTTGCGACCGCGAACATGCCCGTCGACGATTGTGAGCGAGAGTGAAGGCCCGAAATACAGCTCCGACCAGCCAGGTCAAGATTACCAATACGACTTTGACGGTGGTGGCCAAATGTTTGGCGCTGAAGCAGACACAGATCCCCTCGGGATCGACTGGGCCGTTAGATTCAAGATGGCGGCGCTCCTGAACTTAGACGGTCGACGTTGGCGCATGGTACTGCGCAAAGGATTGGTGATGTACCTCATCTCCTCGTGGTTTGAAGAGGAGACGGGGGTGCACACAATTAGAACGGTCGGTGTTGGGGCAGCCAGCGACACTGATGTACCGTTAGTTGAGATTTCGTACGATATCGGCGAGATGCAAGAGCTACTTCGACAACTTGAAGGAGGTACGCTAACTGTACCAGCACTGCTGAAGAAAACAGTGATGCCATTACTTCCTTAGAACGGCACGCTCCAATGATGCTAAAACGCAATAAAATGGGGATAATGTTCAATATAGATACTTTTTCTTAGCGCTCTCGAGCAGAAGATGCTCACGGTAAGCATACGCCTCAAGTTGGGACTAGATTTTGGGTACGCGATCAGGTGCGAATCGCTGGTAAAGCGCTCGTAGCTCTCGTTCGATCGTCTCTTTCTTCTCTTTGTAGAAAGCCGAAAGCTCTTTGTCCAAGATCAAAAACAGAGCTTCATACTCGGCCCGCAGCTCAAGGAGTTTATCGTCTCCATTGTTGGAGCCACTGGTTTGTTCTTCCTTATTCTCTGCTGGGTGCAGCCGGAAGAATGCCATCGCGTCGAAAGCAACTTGCAGCGGGTTCTCACCGATTGAATTCGATATATGGAGAGAAACACCGAGTTTAAGGAGAGCGATGGCAGACCGTGGATCATGATAACGCAGCGCTAACAGCAGCATGATATCACCTTCGATGACACGATCGAAAAGACCCGATGTGCTTGATGAAGCCGAGCTAGCCCTATCGAAGAAGCCTGGAGGCCAATCGAGTTAGTCTCAAAATGAAGCGAGAAAATAAAGTTATAGGGCCTACCGAACGTGTTGAACTGCATTGGGGCCCCGAATCCAAACACTTTTACTTGAGTATCGACTGCTGTGGCAGTAAGGCCTTTGATCTCGGTGAAAACACGCGTCAATTCTTCAGGATCTCTCTTCGATAACGCATGTAGCGCATGCATATCCCAGCGGTGTGGAATGAGCTTCGTTCGCGGTGGCACCATTCGACCTGCGGTCGTTGTGCTTAAAGTTTTGTCACAAACAGTAGTTTCACGAAAGGCTAAATAAAAAAATTACCTTGATTTTACGTTTTTCCGTTTTACTACAAGTAGCTCATGTTGAGTGACAGGAAGAATCTGCAAAAATGGCTGTTGGAAGTCTGGGTCGGATTTTGGGCAGCACCTCAACGCGTTCGACTCGAGCATTTTGCATGTGTTATACAATGCAACGACGATTGTGCTTTTGTGCCGGGCGCACAGCAAAAAGAGGGGGTGTTAGAGTTTGTCAGTGGTTTTGTAGCTCCCGACATCCGCCCTATCTTCCTCGATGGTGAATTTCAACATCTTCCACTGCGTTACGTTGAAGGAGAAAAATGATCTAAAAGCGAATGCTTCGAAAGCTATCATACAGTACAACCCAGTCCACCCTTGCTACTGTAGATTAAATAATATACATGTCATGCCTAAATACTCTGCAACTCCACATGAAGAGAGGAAACCTTCATCAACAACAGTCTGCGAGCGCTTTAAAAATGTAGTGTAGGTAAAGGCGGAGTCTTTGCTGTATGACACCAAAGAGGGTGAGCACAGCCATAGGCCCTGAGTGAGGACACACGCGGTCTTCAAAGAAATCCAGACCTTCGCACAACTCTGCGTCCACTGAGAAAACATGTACGATGTGGACCGGCCATCTTTGTTTGGTCGGAAGGGAAGTTGGCACAATACAGTACCGTACCATGCCTCGGTTTCTCATCCTAGATCAAATGACTGTTCCCCGGTGGATCATTCAGCAATTTTCCCACACGAACTCGAACCGCTGACGTTACGATGAAGGCCTCTGCCTTCTTGTGCGCCGTCGTGGCCCTTGCCACTGCAGTGCGGGCCCAAAAAGACGCGTCCCAAGTCCAGCAAGTAACTCAAGCCCAAAGCGCGTCCCAGGACCAAGAGCCCATTACCACTCCGGCCCCCACTGTCAAGTACATGAACATCTCGGGGATACTGCACACCCCGTACCCAATGGCCACTCCGAAAAACGTGACGCTGCCGTCGATGAGACCGGATCCACGAGCGACGGAAGCTCCGACGCCAGCACCGACGTTGCCGCCGACCCCCGCGCCGACTCCTGCTCCGACCCCGGACCCGGGTCCGTGGACGACGATCACCATTGACCACGACCAGGTCAAGCCGTTCGCGCAGCCCGAGTCCGTTACGATCTCGGAGAAGGCCGCAGTGAAGTTCAAGCCACAGCTTCATATCACCAACGGATGCCATGCATACCCGGCAGTGGACGAGGCCGGTCAGACCAGCGGCGGGCTCAAGACCAAGGGCGCTCCTAGCGCTGGCTGTAAGGGGTCGGGATGGGGTTCTCAAGTTTACGGCCGCTCGGGCTGGTACCAGGACGTCTGGGCTATTATGTACTGCTGGTACTTTCCCAAGGACGAGCCGTCGTCTGGCATCGGCCATCGCCACGATTGGGAGCACGTTGTTGTGTGGATTGATAACCCTGACGTCGAGAACCCCAAGATTCTGGCCGGGACGCCGTCAGCCCACAGCGGGTACCACAAATACGCTCCTCCGAATGCTGGCACGGTCGATGGTGTGACCACAAAAGTCGCGTTCGAGAGTCATTGGCCCATGGACCACGCCCTCGACTCCACCACGGAAGGAGGCGATTTCCAAGACCTCATTATGTGGGACCAGCTTACAGATAACGCGCGTAGAGCTCTCAACTCGGTGAGTTTCGGTAGCGCTGATACGCCCATGAACGACGGGAACTTCCAGGCTGAGCTGGGAAGGGCTTGGCCTTTCAGTACCTAGGCGCATACACCATGTCTTGCGACCGTAACGTCGGTTGAGTAATAGCAGTTCTTTGATGTTTATTTACTACATGCCCCCCTGCATTCGTCGTCTTCGACCCAGTGGTCAGAGTATCGGTACAAAGTCTGGGAAATTGACGTCAGATAGAGTATTTTTGATTGCGATTATTGGGGACGAAGTCCCCCCTATAATCATGCGACTCTGATTTAGTGAGTTTTTATGTCTCTTATATACACTCCTCTTTAGTTTTTACATCAATTCTGCGAATGGGTTAGGGTCACAATTTAGAATCACTCACACGGGGACCAAAAACTGAAAAAAATACCTCGGTTAAGCAACATTTTGACGTCTATTGGAAGGTGGTATTGGCCAATTTTATCCCAAACTGGACTGACGTCACTACATGACGATGCCATAAAACCCGAGGGTCGAAGTTATGAAACAGTAAATTCGGCCGTTAGTATGGAGAATATCAGAAATAGCCTTAAACGCGATATTTTACCCTTATTTGGTCCTCTTTAGGACCCCTTATGAGGCCTTTTGCCTGTCATACCTTATGCCATCGTAAAAAGGGTCGCTCTGCGGCCGCCTGGTAAGAAGTCTGCACCCCTTCGGATCGCGGCGAGACTCCCAAGAGTCAAAGGAGTGCGCATGCAGGTTAGCGTGCTGATGACCGGGTATCGGTGACGTGCCGTCGAGTAGCAACTACAAGGACGCAACAGGTACAGTATCTCCTCCTGCTTATTTTGAAGACTATGCGCAGATGACGAACTGGCCAATGAGTTGGAGCAGCTCGAGCAGTACGAGCCGCAGCTCGTGTCGGTGCCTCTTGGTAGTAGTAATGGCTCTATGTATGGCGGCGTCCATGTGCTATACCGCCGTGTCAAGCTGCAGTGATGCCACCATGGTCTGGATGAAGGCATTGAGGCTGATTATGCTATTTTTCCCAGCAGAACGAGCAGCGCAAGATGAATTTCTTGACTGAGCGTGAGAGCATCTACAAACACCCGATCTGCAGCTGTGCGTTGCAGTCAAGGAAGTCCTCGTCCAGCTCAACCTGCGGTATAAATTGGCGACAGAGCGTGGAACACGCCCACCTCAAGCGCAAGCAACGTAAGGGGCGGCACAAGATGACAATTGCGGTCAAGCTGCAGCAACTCCACGCCAGCTACACCGTGAAGAACCAGGAGCTGTTGATGAGGTTATCTACCTACGCGTGTAGACGGGTACTTTTGAAAACCCATGCAGGTCAGAGTCGCGGCAACGACATCGGCCATAGCGGCTGGGTGCAGGTGACACCTGGAGATACCATTTCACTATGGATCGCGAAAGCTTAAGTACTAACACCTTCGTATTTTCACACTGAAAAATGAACACACCACGAAATTTAAACATGTCGTTAACCCCTCATTCACTTCTCGTTGTGCCAGTGTGCACTGCAACTATGTAGTGCACATTCTGCCATTACATTGTACACTATAGTCGAATATACATGTATATGTGTCCGCATTCAAACCCCAGGACAGATATATGTAGTGGAGGGTTTCACGGAAGCAAGCCCAGCCCACTCAACGGGCGACGTCTATGGATCGACGCCATCAAGCTGGCAGTAGAATAGAGAGAACAGTAAAACCAATGCGATCGACAGAGAAGTCGGTTTGGTAGAAGATGCTGGCAGAAGGTCTAGCAGGCAGGGTTTCGAAAAAGTTAATGGTCATGGACCTTTAATTGCCATAGTACCGGATGGAATCGTCGGCGAGGGATCCTTCGCTATCTCCAGTATACAAACTTAAAGTCATTTCGAGGCGCATGCCTCCGCAGGTCCCTCCAGACTTTCGTACACAGGGACTTTGTGCGGCGCGGCCTCAGCACGTATCACTTGCGCATTTGCACCACATCAAACAGACGCTTTTCTTCTCCCATGCCGCACAGGTCGCGGTGATCGTTACCCCCGCCATGGCTCGACAGCTCGATGGATCGTCGCCGAGTCGACCAGTACGTCTACGTGCGGCGATTCCTTAACAAACAGGTGCGCGAATTCTAGCGAAGGAAGGTGCCGTACTAATATTGCTTTCGGTGCCAGAACTAAGCGACCTAGAGAACAATCAGATGCAACCACTGGCGCTTCAAGCTGTATGGATAGGGGGCGGGATGCGGCAGTGAATATAAGCTTTGCCAATGCCGCTTTACGCTTTACGCGAGAGCCAGGGAGCCTCAAGTGCGCATCCACGGATACAAGTACCGATTCGCTGAGATCGTAGGGATTAGTGGTCCTTGCTAAGGGCGCCGGCATACACCAACTTAGCCTAGAAGCCGCAGGAAGTCATTAGTTGTGTAGAGTAACACATTTTTTTTATTGAGGGCCATTGTGCGTCGTGTATGGGAAAATGCCGCTCCCTCCGTATCCCGTGATTATTTTCGAAACCCTGCTAGTAGCAGGAGTCGTCGGCAGGAAGCAGCCGACAGCAAGCAGCAGAGACGCAGACAGATATCACTTTGAGATTTACCTCTAAACCGAAAACAGAGCTTTGGTTTGCCCGGGAACACCAGCTTCCCTCGTAGTCCCGAAACCTACTACAGTGTACTGGTCTACCGTCAACAAGATCTGATGGTATGTTGTTAGCAAAATAGCCAAGCGGATGGAGAAGCAAAAAATTTCTCGAGTGGGGGCGTCGTCCAAAACTCTGTGACCAACATAGTTTTGGATGTCGCCCCCTGAAGCAACATGAGCACAGCGAACGTGATGCTCCGCTAGTGTATTTAAGACGGGTGTGAACGGTGTGCTCACTGTGCTTGTAGCGACCGAGCAAGGATTGTCGATAAAATAATATAAATGCGAAATATTGATGAAAATAACTGTGCGCAATTTATAGCAAACTATTGCATAGCTGCTGCCTTTGCAAGTTACATGTTGTAACGAACATGTAAAATTAATATATTTGTTTTATACTGGGATAGGAAGCGACGAAGTGCTGATAGACCAGCCCAAACAGGATTGATTCGGGCGATGTCCCCCCTTCCAATCGACACCGGTGATGAACCGGTAACGTCTTTAGGTCAATTTACAGTAAGTGATGTCTATTGACCGAGTGTTTTAGACTTCTCAAGAATGATGGAGGCTGGTCCAGTTCATTTGCAAATTCGTCGAGTTAGATTCGTCATTGATTTTGCTCTGAAATCGGTTGTACGTCGTGACCATAGTGGTGATACATTGTCGGGCAGATTCTGCGGCTGCGAAGCGATGCCCGTGGAGCGTGCGGATTGAGTTTATCAATGGCGGTTAAAGGTGCGTTAACCAGTCCTATCCCAGCCTTCGCGAAACCCTAGTTAAATACATTATTCACCTGAATATATTGTGTTTTGCACGAACTTTGGCATGCAATTAAGGGCTCTAAACCAACGAGCAAATCCTTCCCGGTGATCATATCTCGCAGCCTAATTAAGTTAAAGTTAAGCTAATCAACCGCCAGTACCAAGCACAACGCAGAATAAGAACGGAGCGGTTGCCACTGCAAGAATAAATCGGTTGTCGCTGCAAGAAAACAAACCGATAAGGTCCCCAATAGAATGGCGCCAAATCCTTGCATAATAGTAAGCACCGATTTCGGCGGGGACGTTTTCTATCGCTCTCTTCGTCGTGGCCTTGCGCGTTAAACAAAGCTCGAATTTCAGAGCACGGCATATAGTAGCAGTAGAAAATCTCTACTAGAAATGTTTGGTAGTGCAGGAAACGCGATATAAAAACAGGGATGTTCTTCAATATTGTAGACGTAGTTTAGTACTACGATAGATCGCCAACGCATGTCAATCATCGACTAGAAAGCAATATGACAAAGCGAGCGAGCTAGAATTAGAATGCCAGGGCCGTAGTATTGTCGGATTTACTCCAGCCATTCAACGAAAGTGAGCATAACTCAACGTTAACTCGTTGTCTTTGCAGCTATTCTATCTTAAATCGACGAGTTAGCCTCCTAACTCAATGATGGGCTAATCACCGTGATTTGCTAAAACAACGAATTACGTCGTTGTTTAGACATAAAGCATGCAAGGCGCAATAACTGAATATATCTTAAAGAGTGTAATAACAGTGATAACGAAGTAAATCCTCTTACCTGTACTATTATTTTACATTTGTATAGGCACTATTAGATAACTTCTATTTTAATACTTCGAAGTATTCAAATAAGGTTTTTTTTAAAGTCTTGCCTCTTGCGTCTTGAAAATTTATTAATACCCGTCCAGCATATCCTCGAACATGAACTGCTAAAGAAAGGTGAGCTGGTGACTGTGTTGCGTCACTAATTTCACTCGATCGATTTCCCCAGGTTCGGAAGCCCGTGCAAACTTCGGTTAAACAAAGTCCAGTATCGGCAACAAAATCAAACCGTTTGCCAACAATTATATTTTGAACGTTAGTGCGCCTTCCGCCAGGGAAAAATAGGTAAGATCGTTGTCAGTCGGCGCAGTACTGAAAGTGCCGGACCCAAGTAAAGCGCTCGGACATAATTTCAATCTGTATTTTTGATTTTTTTAAGACACGACAGTACATGTACAGTACAGTGCACAGATGTACGGTACCGTCCCGCCAGGTCGTCATGGATCATAGCAAGACAATGTTTTGAAGATACAGTAATGCAATAGGGTGACAGCTCATTCCCGACACCTCGTCTTTACTGCGTACTTCATCGACATAACTTCCACTGCCCGAAAACCAGCCGAGTCTTGGGAACAAGTCTCAAATCCGAGATCCAATTAGCGATCTGTTAATACCCCGAATAGCTACTACATGTACATACCGTAAATACTGCACTAAATAGGAGGGCAAACTGGATGCAAAGCACAATACATTCGTTGTCATATACCAACGAAGCCTAGCTGGTATGGGTGTGCTGAAAGCGATCGATGCTAAATGGGTTCGTGTACTCTCAACGCCAATAGCAGATCAGTTAATCCCTTTTAGGTACTAGTACCGTTGATTGAAAAAAGCTGAGCAATAACTACGTTACTCTAGTGCACTACAGTGGTGCACCGCGTTTTCGGCACCGGTATAAATCAATACCCCAAGATAGTAGATTAGGATTTGACTACATTACAAGTACCAGTGACCTATCACATATGATTTCCTGCTATAGCCGAATTATGTACCCATGCCGAATACGCGGTGCACCTCTGTAACGAATACTCTGACTTAGCATGACAACTGCTTGTGAGGCCATTCCGTCTGGCCACTCGCGTTCCCGCCCGCTACCATAATAAAAGGCAGTGATAAGACCGCAACTCTCTTCGCATGGCCTCTGCGAACGGTAAGACAACGACCACGATCGGGACCAGCCGACTCTTTCGGGTTTGATCAAACAAAGGCATCCTAGACACTCTCCATTCTTCAATTCACCCAACAAGACACGGCTCCAATCCGGCGATGAAGCTGCGCGCCGTGCTGACTGCTCTGCTGTTTGCCGCAATAGCAACGTGTGGTATTGGAAAGTGGCAGTTTCCAACGCTGTCGACCCGCCGGCCCGACAATCAAGTTCAATCAAGGGGCAATCAAGGCGAGGTCAAGCGAGAGACGGAGATGGCTGCTTCTGATTGGATGATGACATTATCCTCGGTAGAGTGACAGTTAGTGGCCGAAGCCTCGTCGGGTCCTAATAGAACCCCAAACGAGGCTCCACAGTACCCACTTTTAGGTACATATGCATTTAGTTACGTACTTCGGCCGCACTTATTGGTGTAGCCGCGGTCGTCATTTGATGTGTCCGGAATCGCCTTATTGCAATCATTCACACTAGATATTTGTATAGGGACATAGGACTCATCATAGGATGACCAGCACGAGGCTCCCGGGGTCTCACAAAACTCAGTAATAAAAAGACAAAGCCAACAAGGGTCAAGTCCGACTTCGGTAAGTGTAGCTAGCCTATTGTAGTGCCTGGACACGCTCGGCTGCGTGTGGATGCCTGTCGGGGAGCTTATCGTGAATTGACCGAGAGATTCTTTGGCAGCGCCAAGAGTTGGCGTGTCCGGAGAGGCAGGAACGGTATTAGAGTATCGTTCAGTATATATTTGTGGGATAAGAGTGTCCCTGAGTGTATTAGTCTATCTACTGAGGTTTTACCTTGGTCCCCCTGTATAAGACCTAACACGCCGGTACCCTTCCTTTCTGAGGGACTGCAGTGGGGTTGCGCGAAAGCGTTACATAGTATCCTAGCCTTAGCTCGTGGTTAGTGGTACAGGTTTTTGGGTTGACCGAAGACAACCTAAGGTACACAGAAGCGCTTGCAACCGACCCGGTGTAAGGGATCGTTCCTGGTCTTCAGGTTTTGATCCAATAAGCGCTTACCTTTGCGGGTTAGCGTGTTGTTGGTGTCTCTAATACCGTTTGGTAGAGGAAGCTTTGAGTGGAATTACCACACCACAACTGGTGCCGCGACCCGGGATTGGTGTGACCTTCTGTGTGTCTTGGTTGCTGTAGGTCTCTACCTCCAACGAGCGAAGAGGAGAAGAGGAAGAAGAGAAGAGGAGAGGAGAAGAAGTGTGAAGATGGCGAAGGGAGTCAAGTCAGCGGTACCAGCAACGCCGGCCAAGTCGAGTGGAACGCGCAACGAGACTTCGGTGCGCTCCGGAAGCTCATTCTCGACCCCTACGACGGATCGGATGGAGTCGATTGACGAGCGTTCGGTGAGCTACGACACGGCGATTGATTCCTCGGACGCCAAAGAAAATGACGAAGATGATGACTGGGATGTCCGGACAGCGATATCCGAGACTTCGGAAGCTGCGGTTGTGTCGGCAAACCGTAGTGGAGGATCGAGGTCGATCACTCGCGACCTTTCCGAAACGTTCAACGACATGCCGGGCCCCGAGCCCGCCTATGACGCGGATGACGGTGCGACCGAGGGTTTTAAAGCCTCGGTGGCGGTAGGAGGGACAACCTCCAAGCCGGTTGGCACTCGGCCTCCCCTCAACGGCGATAATCCGGCGGCCAACAAGGTTCTAGGCCGATGCCTGGAGCTGATGAAGACCAAGCGCGAGTGGATGCAGTTGTTCTCCCCGAAGCAGGTCCGCCAGGCCATCTGGATGGACCTCGGAGGGGCGTTGGCCACGCCAATGAACTTGACGAGCACTAGGCAGGTCGCTCAGAACACGGTGGACCTCATGCGGGCGATGGGGGTGCGAACCTCAGATCCTCCCGACGGAAGCTGCTCTCGCGAGCTGGACTCCCACAAGCGCTGCCGCGGCGCTTACCAAGTGGAGGAAGAAGCTGCGCGACGCCTTTGGAGTGGCGGGCCGAGGCTCAACGAAGCTTCGTCCGGCCCCGGAAGCGGTTAACCCCTCCAAGGTCCCGCTACCAGTGACCCCTCGGAAGGCAACCACGGATGACGGGGTCTTCGCAGTCACGGGCGAGGCCTCGCCTTACATGCAAGACTCGCACATGGTAACCCCACGATCTACGGACCGTAGTGAACGTCTGGCTAGGGAGACCGAGGTTTCGTACGCAACGCCTGGCACGCGCGGGGCAACCGACCGCCGGTCCAGCCGCCATTACGACCTCCGAGATGACTCGTCGGACAGTGACGATGATCTCGGGCCCGACTGTTACGAGGGCGATCTGCCGAGCGAATGGGCTCCTCAGGTGCGCGAGCTGAGCGCGACTGACAATCAGAGCTCAACCTCGAAGCTCGAGATTGTCACGCATCTACCCCTCGCCAGCATCAAGCCGTTCTTCGGGACGCGCGACAAGAGCGAGCACTCCATGCAGTGGCTCCCAACGTTCATCTATGAAATGAAGGGAACGCATGCTTCACCTGTATGCCGTTCGAGCTGAAGCTCAGAGATGGAGCTCTGCACTGGTGCCGCCAGCTCCCACGCAAGACGAGACGCTCGTGGAAGTTGCTGAGCGAGGCGTTCATCAAGTACTACTGTTCGAAGTTTCCCAGTCTGCGAAGGCTCGGTATCACTCGGCCAAGCAAGAAGACAAGGAGCACGTATGTGACTACCTCAACCGGCTTAACGGCTACGCTCGCAACGCCGGCGTGCAGTTTGAGAACGGAGGACGTGACGCGAAGGACCATGTCGAACACTTCTTGGTTACGTGTGATGACCGAAACTTAGAAGACCGTCTGTGCCACGTTCGGGTCAAGAGCATTCATGACCTCGAAAACATGATCAACGACATTCTGCGTCACCGCGACCGAAGTCGACCCGCGAATCATCGTTCCACCGCTCCCGCAGTCAAGATGACAGTCGCCGTCGCGACGCAAGGTCGAACGATGATTATCGAAGTGGTTATCGCCGTGAGCGACGTTACCGCGACGAGGACCGCCGCGAACGACGTTACCGTGACGATGACCGCCGCACCGATCGTCGTGATGACGACCGCCGGCGTGACCGACGTGACGGGTCACCGCACCGGTCGAGGGTGACTTTGGTCGACGCCCTCGCCGATATAATGGCGGAATGGAACGTCGGAGGCTCGGTCGGTGCACGCAACGAGGCTCCATACGCCCCCCGACGTGATGCTGAGGCGAACGAGGATTACTTCGAGGATGAGCGCCAATACTCGGGTGACCAACGCTCGGATGAGGATTCAGACGCTGATTACGACTCGGATGGGTCTACCGGACATGTCGCTGCCGCTAACGATGCTGAGCGCAGGGCCGCAGCCGAAGGAAATTAGATATGAACTATGAGTCTAGAATTCTTTGCCCATGTGGAGATGAATTATTGAGATGAAACTATTCTCGTCGTTGCATGGATAAGAAACATATCTACTGGATGAGTTTAATACCCACTGACGTTCAAGAGCTCACAGATATTGATACATTTATTAAATACAAAGAGATGCATAAAAACGTTTTTGGAGCTATTATACATCTGAAATGAAAAAGCAAACAGCTAAATTTATCTTAACCATTCTTCGAATGCTGTTAAAAAATTATGATGAGTCAATCGACTCAATTTTTTTACTTCAACAACTCATCGACCTCAGCCTTAAGCTTCGGCATTTTAGTCTTAACGAAGTCATTGCTGCTCAACCATTCCAGGTAGTTAGGATCCATCGCTCGGATCTGTTTAATAGTCCTGAGCTTACCAAAGTTAATGTGCTATTTTAAGGGAAATTTAATAATATATAGGATACGATGTGCAATTACCTAACCAAGGACGGAATCAAATGCAAGCTGTCGCCGAAGAAAGACATTTGCCATATTCATCGGAAGTATTCGATTATCGACCACAAAAGCAATGAGATTCGAAACTTGAACTAGTCAATCACCAAGACAAAGATCAAATCCAAAACTCTACGCGATGAAGTCAGTCATCTTAAGGAGGATATAACTTTTCTACAATCAGCTCTCAAGGATAAAGATACTATCATATCCTCAATGGATTATGACCAATGCATGCCAATCAAGTCGTTTGAGATAAAGAAAGCTCGTTTATTGAAATATGTCCACGATATGACTGACATATACGAGCTAAAATCGTTTTGCAGATCGAAAGTAAATGGGTTGATACTATCAGAGATTGTCAGAGAGCATGTCGACTACTGGAGACACTATAACGAACTTCGAATCCAAAGAAACAAGCTGTGCCATGAATTATAATCCATCTTAACAAAAACATATACTAGTATATCCAACGAGACTAAACCATGAAGCGCGACAACACAGAAGAAGAGAGACTCACCGCGAGACGAGAGGCGAATCGGAAATACTATCAGCGAACTCGCGAAAGTAGACTCGCAAAGCAGCACCAATACTACATAGACCATAAAGATGAAATTAATGCGAAAGACAAAATCAGGTATCAGCAAAAAAATAGCGATTAGCGATTAAGCAATGAAATGTTTTTTGCCATTAGTATAACTGAGAATTTTCCTATTGATCTTAAGCGTATTTCCCAAGTAATATAGACATATAGTAACAGGGAAATGCCAATCTCATCAGCCCGTACGAAAGCTCAAAAGCACCGTAGCGACCTATACCGCTTCGCGAAGAGTAAGAAATTGACTATCCATTGGGATATAAAGACAAAGAAGATGGAGGAAATTGTCAATGCCTTCAAAAGCAAGAAAACTATGACCATCCTCAAGGCTCTAAGGTCATCTAAGATTAACAATGATCAATCAACTCTCAAAGCCATCAACACTACAACTGGAAAGGTCAACGTTTCGCTAAGTCGCTTCAATCGCATTCGCAAGCAGATTGTATCGCCAGCTGATAAGAAGTTGCTAATTCATATCAAGGATTCGGATGGTAGAATCGCGAACCCAACGATCGCGTTGTCAATATCAACAATTTCTTCATTGACGAGGAGAACCAATACAGCTCGGGAGCTGACGTTGAATTGAATATTCTACCTACAACGACCATCGAGACAATGACTACCAAATCCTAAGCGATCTCGATTAGAGCGGAAGAATTTCTTTCGAAATCTGACGAAGGCCGAGTACAATCTAGAGGCATTCCAAGTGTATTCAGATGACTTCTTGATTGAAGATGAATACAACGACAACAGCTTCGTACCTGGCGAGAGCAACGACGACGAGGCAGCTAACTATCCGTGCTTTCTGTTCGCGCTATACAAGGCAGGAGCAAACCCAGATCTTGTGAAGCAGATCTCACAGGCAATGTTCAACTCGGGAGCTACTGTCGATTTCATTCGGAAAACCGCTAAGGCTTTCAACATTTGCATCTCTGTTAGACAATTCCGTGTCAATCAGAAGACTGGCAGATGCAATGACGACACAACGATCTATGGCGATAAATGCAACCCGATGTTTATCCTCGGATCGGTTGGTGAGTATCTATTTGCTATTGCGCCGACCAACATCACCAAAGGTGCCCTCGACAACCCCGAGCCAGTTGCCGAGCATGGACGAACTGATTTCCGAATCAAGGGAGGAAGGGTTGTTTTCAACGATTAAAAAATCTCTTTCCTCGACAGTTATGGTGTCATCAGCTATCTATACCACCACCGCGAGACTCTCTTGTCGCCTATCACGCAGCAAAATATGCCTAAGCTTCTCAACAACAAATACCAAAAGGTGCACTCACTGGATGCGGTAGACTTCAGTGATTGCAACTTCAGAGTCATGGACCGCGTCCCAGGAAAAGAGCTTAAGCTCGGTCAGACTGTATTCAGAGCTTTCAACAGCAAGACCCGTGAGTACTATGATGTTCGTAAATACAACGTCGTCTACTTTGACTTCGAGACTCTGGTCATGAACGGTATTCATGTTCCATACTGCGTATCATATTGCATTTCGGAGCTCAACGAAAACTCACCATCTTATCAGACATTCAGTGAGACGACGAGGAACATCTATGGCTTTGGCTGCGAGAAGCAATTCCTAGAATCGCTTCCGTCCAACAGCAAGAATCTCCTCTGGGCTTACAACGCTGGCTTCGATGCTCGTTTCCTGCTAAAACATATGAGCTACAAGTCTAAGGATACTAATATGATTGATTGCGGCTCTAAGATCAAGCAAACTCACGGCTTCTATAAAGGACGTGAGATTATCATTAAGGATTCGATGTCCTTCCTTGCTGGAGGATTAGCTAGACTCCCTAAGATGTTCAAAGATGCCTCATCGTCTTTATCTCTGGAGAAGGAGTGCTTCCCTCATGCATTGATCAACAAGAGCAACTTCAGATCCCTCTGGCCTCTGGAGTATCTTGATTCATACGAGAACAAGGACACCCTCATCGATAACGCTCCTAGTCGTTGATGATACGCTAGACTGTGAGATGTACGCTACTCACTACTGCAATCGCGATGTTGATGTCCTTAGAGTGTGCTTCGAAGCTTTCCGTGCCCTAGTGAAGGAGGAGTTCGACCTTGATATCTATCGATTTCTCAGTGTGTCATCCCTTTCTCTCGCATATCAACACAACGAGGGCTGCTTTGATGACTGCCATGAAATGAATTCGGTCCTCCTAGGCTTCTTACGTCAAGGAACCGTTGGCGGACGAGTGATGACCAGAGACAACGGCAAATATCACCTGAAGCACAAGCTAGCTGACTTCGATGCCGTATCTCTATATCCATCTGGTATGAGCGAGCTCCCGGGTTATGTCAGAGGTAAGGGAAAGCTCTTCAAGGATTCAATCCCTTCTGATGCGGACTACTACGTGGCACGTGTTCGCTTTGACTCTATTGATATCAAACGCCACTTTCCGCTTCAAAGTTTCTATGCTAACGGTTCTCGCAATTTCACGAATGATATTATCGGCCAAACCATGATTGTAGGAAGGCAGGCTCTCGAAGACATCGTGCATTCCCAAGGAGCTTTATACACCGTGATCGAGGGTATCTACTGGAACGAAGGGTTCAACGACCAGATCATTAGGACCATCCGAAAGATGCTCAACGCTCGCCTCAAGTACAAAGCAGAGGGTAATCCACTTCAGGAGGTACTCAAGCTGATGATGAATAGCTCGTACGGCAAGCTCCTGATGAAGCCGATCGTGAAGAAGAAGTTTTTCGTTAGTGGCGCCGAGATGAAGATCGATACATGTACTCGCAAGAACATTCATCGAATGATTTCGAGAACACCGATTAGCGACAATCTAGCTATATTTGAAGAGCACAAGGCTCTTAGTCAGCACTTTAGTCCGATTCACCTCGGTATCCAGATTCTCGATTCATCCAAGCATATCATGAATCGCGTTATGTGTCTTGCTGAGGGCATTGACGCTCGTATCTGGTACCAGGACACAGATTCAATGCATATCGAGTACGATAGCGTTCCGCGTCTAGCAGATGTATACAGAGACCTGTACAATAGTGAGGTAATTGGCAAGCAAATGGGTCAATTCCACGTAGATTTCGACCTTGCTGGATCGGAGGGCAACATCGTCGCCAAGGAGTCAGTCATTCTTGGCAAGAAGAGCTACCTTGACGTTCTTGCCTGCGATGGCAACGATGCGACAGGTCTTCATATCCGCATGAAAGGCATTCCCGGCAAGCTACTCGAGGGAGATGCATACGTGACATACATTAAGCTATTCAATGGCGAAGCAGTATCCTTCGATTTAACCGAGCTGTGCTCGATTAACATCAACTCTAAGACACAATCAGTGTCTAAGCGATCGAATTTTACACGCAGTGTTTCATTCGTGTAAATATAGAGCAGAGCTTACTCACAGCCATGGACTCACAACCCTAATATTACTAGCTTAGGCACGCTATCGTCGCTGGCAGTAAGTGGAAACATATCTGGCACGCTAGCAACAGCTGCTCAGCCAAATACTACATCCGTAGGTACATTGAGCAATCTCACAGTGAGTGGGAATCTGTACGCTACGCTACAGACGGCTAGCCAACCAAGTATTACATCTGTAGGCACACTGATTAGCCTTGTAGTGAGCGGACAAACATATTGTACGTTGAATACAGCTGCTCAGCCCAATATCACATCACTTGGTACGCTTACTGGATTGACTATTGCAGGCAATTTAGCATTTACAGGAGCATCAAGAACACTTACAGGTCTTAACTCACTCGCTGCGGCATCGATATCGGGCACGCTACAGACCGCGGCTCAGCCGAACATTACCAGCGTAGGAACGCTTGGCTCGCTCACATCTAGTGGAGTAATAACCATTTCTGCTGGTATTGCATCTTCAAACGCAACCTCTGGTTCTCTTGTAATAACTGGAGGTATTGGACTCGGAGGTGATCTGAATGAAAGTGGATCGATATCAGCACTCAGTTTCATCAATAGATTGATTAATACTCTGGCTCAAAGCAAAATTAAATCGCTAGGAACTCTTACTGGCTTGACGATCGATGGCAATCTATCATTCTCAGGAGCAAGCAGAGCTATTACTGGACTCGACTCTCTATCGGTGAGCGGAAAATATGTTATCACTGTCCCAGCAGCTTCAACGCTAAGTTCAACAACCCCCGCAGCGGATTATCCAATGCAATTTCGGAATATATCGAATGTTTCTGGAGCAGCATGCGGCATTAGCTTTGCAATTCATGAAGAAGGAACACTGAGTAATTTCACGCCTTCGGCAGCTATTATTGTATCAACCGAGGCGACTGGAGCAAGTAATGTACATAGCCCAGGCGTTTTCTCTATCCTGACGCGTGGGATGCAAATCCAGACTGATGGTGCTATGTATGGACGCATGCGCATCGACTCTAGCGGACGATTCAGCTTCTCCAAAGAGATAGGCGACGGTCATTGGAACTTTCTCAGAGGATCAGGCCTAGACGGACCATCAGATTTGGATCAACTCTATCACCGAAGGATTGCATCTCTATCTTCTGGAGTAATTACTCGACTGGTAGCAGTCTCAACTATCTGGCTTTCAACGTTTACGGTACCTCTAATGCTCTAACTATCCATGCAAGCGATCGCATAGGGATACGAACTGCGGCGTCATCTACTGTTTTCGACGTAGTAGGAGATTCAACGTTGCTCGATGGAACATATCAACGGCTAGTTCAGTTTAGAAACAATAACGCAAGCCCAATCGCTCTGGAGATCCAAATAAGTAATGCGGCAGCTGGGGCTGGCGCTGTATGGATGGGGACGCAATCTACGGACGCACTAAGACTCGGAGTGAATAACAATACGATCGTGCATATCAATTCATCATCCAGAGTCGGGGTAATGAATACCTCACCGGAAGCGACTCTCCATAGCGGAGGGCAGCTGTGGGCCAACGATGTCATCCACAGCACGGCGAACGGAACATGAGCTCAAGTCTCATGGAGATCTGTGCAGCTGACCAATTATATAGGTATTGGCAATTATGCTACCAATGTATACAGTATTCGTCTTGGATCATGTGATACTGACATAACTTGGGTTGGATACGCAAGTGTATACGGAGGAACGTATACCAATGCGTCTGACCGTGATTACAACAGGGATATAGACGACATTAGATACGTCTCAGATACTATCATGCAGATGCGACCGAGAGGATTCACATGAAAGCAGGATGATCGACAATCGATTGGGTTTATTGCACAGGAATTACTGCCAGCTTGCCCAATCCCAGTGAGCGGAAATCCAGCTCGACCTATCAACGAGGAAACGGGGATGCCAAACGATGGAATGGGTATCGATTACGGCTCGCTGACTGCAGTACTGTGTCGCGGAATACAGGAGCTCGAGGCTGAACTCGATGATCTAAAAAAATTAGTTTCCACTCTACAGTGAGAACGTTTTCGGCTTACGAGAGCGCTGCTCATTGGCCCATACGGTTCCGTCTGGCTTAGGTGCTCTGTAACGGGCCAGGTGTGTGCCTGTCACTAGCTTACACGTACAGGTGCATAAGGTGCCGCTTGAACCGCTAGCGGTGAGGAAGCTTAGTTTAGACTCGGATTTAATGCGACCAAGCAGTCAGTCTTGGGAAAAATCAACTCTGTTTTATGTAAGGACCAGGGCGGCTACCCCTGGTCTCATGTGAGCCACTCAAATGCAGGTCAACGCCTGATTGGCTGAAATGGGGTCTGGCTCCCAATTCAGCCAATCACGACGACCGTCATTACACGCTAGCCGTGTACTGACTTAACTACTTTATGTAGTGTCATTCTACCTACTTATGTAAATGGGGCCCATTACATGCTCCGTGGATCCACTCAGGAGATGGATGCTGCTTTGGTGTAGCAACGACCGGATCCTTGACAGTAAGATCTGCTAGATTTTTTTTAGTTCCTTCACATTCGCATTTGCCTGGTGTGTATAGCTGTGTTCAGGCTTGAACGGTTTCGGGTTGTTGACAATTGTGGTAAAGCAGTACACACAAAATCGTCAGTTGTGGTAACTTGGCTACAAACACAACAATAGCCGAGCTGGTCGGCTTTGTTGGCCTGCGCCGGGTGGCCCCCGAGCGGTTCGACCCAACCGGGACAGCGGGTGTCTCGCCGAGACCTGCCAACCAAGATCACTCCTCCGGAGAACCGCCGAGTTCGACGGCCTCCGTTCACTCAACCCTGTGCCCTCCACCAAAGGATGGACGACGGCGCACGGAGCGCTTTTACAGGTCGCGGAGAGCAAAGGCTTCTCGACTCAGCAATCAGTGCTCGGGACGTACGGGATCACCGGCTCTCGGCGGTGGCGAGACTTCTCTTTCGCGCTTGGCGAGACACGCGCCCAACCCGGGCCGACCTTAATCTCTTGGCGCTGCCAGCCGAGTACCCTACATAGCTATGCCTCTCGGGTACCGGCAGCAGACATAATCGGCCCCGTGCAGGGACTTACCGGAACGTGTACGCGTGCTTTTGGCCTAGAAAAGTCTGCTCTGTTTTTTGTTATCTCTGTCGGGCGCCCTTAAGGGTTACCTCCACTATTCCTAAGCTCTTATACAAATACCAAATGAAAGTGGGCGGTTTTGGATCTCGGCCGACTCTTCGCTGAGCTCGGCGACGCTTGAGCTCGGCTGGTCCGTATAAGCTATCCGGATAATTCTTCGAACTTGGCTGAGCCGGATAAGGTGTCCGGATAAGCTGGTGAATTCGGCTAAGCTCGGCTACCGGTACAGTGTACCACTCCAGCCGAGTTGGTCGCGCGAAATCTGGTGTTTCCTACACCACAACTGCCCCGGTCATGTTCGAGCCGAGTTGGTGAGGGACCTGACCATCGCTCCTCGAGTCGAGTCCAATCTCGGTCAAACCTCCAACGGCAGCGAACAAGTCTCCGCGCCAAGTCGTCGTCCGGCGCTCCTGCCGCTCCTCCGGTACGTTCTTCGCCTCCGACGGCTCCATCCATTCTGCTGCTGACCCTTCTTCTACAGATCTTCACAGGCCTCAGTTGCGTCGTCTTTTCAGTCTTCACATCCTCCCGCGCGAGATTAGGAGGAGTTCGCTGAGTTGGTCGACTCGGCGTCCCGGGCTCGCGGGGTCAGCGATGGGCAGGGGCACCCTGTCATCGATCTGACAACTTCCCGTGGGTTCAACCGGGAGTCCGAGCTGGCATCTCGCACTTCTCCTCGCCGCTCACCGAGTCCGCGTGGTGACACCACTTCGGGCGCCGCCGACCTTGGTCGGTCGGACTCGGCTGGGCCGGTGAGTCTTGACTCTCTCGCTGCGCTGATTCATGCGCAGTCCGAGCAACGCCGCATCGAGAACGCGGACTTGGCTCGGCTGTTGTCGTTCGAGATCACTCGTCCCGCGCCGGCGGCTGATCGAGAGGTCCGCCGAGCTGCCCTCGAGGTGACGTCCATCAGCGGACTCGTGAACCTCCTTCGCGGTCAGCATCAACCTCAAAGTCAAGCTAGTGACGTCGCTGCGCTGAGGGTCGAGCTGGAGTCTGCTCGGACTATCAATGCTGACTTGACTCGGCGGCTGGATTCACAGGCGGCTGTGAAGGCCGACCTCGAGAAACGGTTGAAGACTGTCGAGGAGGAACGTGACCGATGGAAAGCCGAGTCAAAGAAGTCGTCCCCCCTCCTGACTAGCCTCCGAAAGGCGATGGCCGAGTCTGAAGCTCCCTTGAAGTCGGCCCGCAAGTCTCGGGATGATAAAGCGAAGTCGGCTGTCGCTCACACCAATGATCTCGGCAAACAGCTGAGGGAGCGCGATTCGGGGATTGAGCGCTCAACTTCTTTCGGCTCATGACGCCGAGCATGCTGTGCTCCAGGGGATCTTGACCAAGCACTTCGAGCAACTGCAGGAGTTGGCTCGGCTACTCATCTCTGGAGACGCCCAGTCTCTCCGTGATGCCAAGGCCACCATCAAACACCAGCATGAGGTCATCCTCCGGCAGAAGCGTGTCATTTCTCGCATGGGTCTGTTACCCATGCACGATCCTCACATGGCTGCTGCAGCTGCTGCCGGGTTGGACGTGCCTGGTTTGAGCCCAGCTGACCTGCAACTCAACGCTCGATTATGCCGGGTTCTGGCTCAACGTTTCCCCGGGGGCCGCAACAGTCGGAGTGGATGCAGAACTCGTGGACCCTTGAAGCCCAGACTCGGTCAGCCGAGTCGACTGCCCGAGGAAGGAACCAGCCGAGCTCGCAGTCACCGGCGGAGCAGAAGCAGTACCATCCGCTCGCGGATGTATGACCAACTCGACGCGTCGAGTCTCTCCAGCCGGGATGTCCATCACCCCGTTCTCAAGTTTACTGGATCGCGATTCAGTCGCAGCAAGTCCGTCGAGCAG